TAATACGTGCTTTGGATCAAAGGATCGATAAATATTCGAGTAACGTGAGAGTGGTACCTTTAATAAAGTTTCAAAATAATTTCCAGCTGAAAATTATTGTGAATTTCCAAGTGCGGAATAATAAGAACAAAAAGAATGGTGAGAAGTGTTAAAAGTAGCGAAACATTTCTGATGAAACATTTAATATAAAACAACTCCCTGAGGTCTTTCGGTAGATTTCATTCCCGTCAAGTCCCAGTGGTCCAACAGAGTGGCAAGAGATGAGAACAACCAAGTCCGGTAGTCGGAACTACCCCATCCAGTTGAGAGATGCTGTGGTCCAGCTAGGAAACAACGGGATCAAGATCTGAACTCGAGGGTTGTATAGTTGGGGTCACCAACGAACTCCACAGACCGTTATCGTCTTCCGCTTTTCAGATTTATCATTGTTATTATGATTTTCTATAAATTTTTTTGTATGCATGCACCGAGAACACGATTTATTTTTACCCAACGATCTTTTTTTATCGTATATAAATCGTATGCTTGGGCATGACAGAGAAATATTCATGTCGTATAAACAAATTCTTTGCTTGAAGTTAATCAAAGATAATGAATGGTTTTTAATTACATTCAGAAAATTAATCGATGCTCATAAAGAAATTTTTTTGATAGTCAAGAAAGAATTATTTCTTGTTGCAAATGAGTATTATTTAAAAACATTCCTAGATTTATGATTGATAAGATAAAAAATTGCTTTGTGATTAATTTTTTTTTTGGCCGTGTATTGTAAAATCAGTTTGTTGAATCAAATAACTGACTGCTCACTTTGATAAGTAAATTAAAGCTCCATGAGAAATAAAAATAATTGTGGCCACAATGACCTACTGGTACGTTTGATCATCTCTCTTGAAGTGAAACCATAATATCTAAATCATGCGGATTTTTTTATAAGCTGATTTTTAACTACAACTTTACATCATTAGTCTTTACAGAATAAGCAAAGTACTACTTAAATCACCCTACGACTTAAAAATGGCCCCTTTTATTATTACAATGATTAGAGTTGTTGCCTGGATATACTAGATGTATTATCTGCTTGTTAAAAGAGTATTGTTTTCATACACTAAAAATTTTTTTTTCAGTTAAACTTTTTTTCACAATAAAAATAACTAACAACTGTATGTGATAATATTGATTGATACATTTTTACTCCTAAACGAAATTAAATTTTTTAAGGGATTTTTAGGAACTCTGGACCATCTCAAGCTAATGATGCTTTCTCTGATGTCTCATGATAAACAAAAAATCTCAATAAAAACATTTCTGCTTCTTATCAATCAGAATTAAAAATAAAACAGAAAAAAACACTCTATTTTGTTAGTTATATTGATTCAACAAATCAATAGCAAAGAAATAAACAACAAGAGCTTGAGCATGAAAATCATCAATCAACAGTAAATGACGTCAAGTCAGACAAGTGCATTCTCAATAAATGAAGCATTTAATCGTGAGAAAACAAGAGAATCCAAAAAGAAAAACTATACAAGCTTACAAAAAGTAAAGATTTTAATGAAGACATCCGTGTAAGATGAGCTAGACTGTAGAGCAATAGAGAGTGATATTGTTGAAAATTCTTTAGGGTGGTGAAGAGAATCAATTAATGCCCTAAAATGTTGCCGCCCGGCCGAGTAATTGGCGCGGGAATGCGTTTATCGGGGCATAAACTGCGGAAAAGGGGAAACTGTTCAGAGAGTGGGTGGTCGACTGGGTTGAAGAGCGAATAGAGGGTTGAACGAAGAACACAAGCGCTAGGGGGTCGCTGTTAGAAAGAAAAAAAATCGATACAATCTACCATCTGCTAATAATAGAGGCTTAGCCCGGATCTATTCATCCGCGATGCTTCTAAAGTACTAGTAGTACTGCATGTTTGCGCCTGACTCTTATACCGATCACTAACTTACTTTCAATAGCAATCACAATAGCTTTCTAACAATGTTTAATCAGTTATCATCCAATTTTTCAACCGAGACTTTGTATTGTGTACTCCATATTTACATTGAAATATAAAGAAAAACATCGAATGTAAATTGGGAAGCACCAAAAGTCATGTTGTACGTGAAAAATATTTTTAAAAAGGAGGATTAACGAAATTCGATACGTGCTAAAGGGGAAGGCGAGTCGGCAGGACGAGTAGAAGGGAAAAAAACTGCGAGAGTACGACGCGCTCACGAATACTTAACGAGTATGGGGTAGAGAAGATGCGAGAACGCAGAGAGCTGCACGTGAGATAGAAACACAATATACAAGGGAAAAGAGAGATCGGGTGAACGAAACGAACGGAAGGCCTTCGACGAAGCGCAAATTAATTCAACGCACAGCTCTCTCCCATCAGTTGGGAGGGGTTCAGGCCCCGGAGGCGTACGTTCGAGGGTTATAAAACGCCGAAGCACGACTAGAAAAAAAAAGAAGAAAGTGTGAGAGGCAACGAGAGTTATGAAACGTGAGGACATGAGCTCACGTGAGGAGAACTGCAGAAAAGCGAGCAAGCGTAAAGGAAAGATAAAGCTTCATCTCAATGTCATAAATTATTAATTTCCATTTCATTTTGTCATTATGTTGGTGTAAAGTTTTTTTTATTACTTCATTCGATAATTGACATGCTGTCATAGGTACCTGATTAGATTTAATTATACTTTTACAATTGGTACATTTGGGTAAACCAATTACATGTCTGTGGACTATTTTTCGTGGTTGCCCTAAATTTATAATGATATTCGTGAATAAAAATTATAAATTTTTTAAATTCATCTAAAATATGTGAATTACTTTAGAGAAATTATATATGAAAATATTTAAACATAAAAATAAAAATATTATTTAGATGTTAACTATTTTATAAATCGAAAATAAAATTATAATTATTTATAAATATTCTATCTGCATTGCTTATTTTTAAATAATAATTGGTATTATTTTTTAAAATTATCACATTAAAACCACCAATAAATCTGACTAGTAGTATTGATCTTAAAATAAATTTTTTCAAAATACAATTATTTCTATTTTTGATTTATAAAGTGTATTTCCATTTTACTATTGTTATCTATTTATAAACATTGGAGTAAATTCAAATATATTTTAGCCTCTAGGTCATTTTCTGTTGATGTCTTGAATAGAAAAGAAAATCAAAACAAACCTAAAAACAGATAAAAATGTAATAAATGTAATATCCTCATTAATTTTATAGGGGACTTCATCGTTCATATCATTTAATTTGAAGAAATGTGATCTGATTATTGGGCGTTAAATTCATCGTGGGTTATGTTCAGTGGTCGACAATTGAAGTGGACTACTTGAAAGAGCGTTTCGCACAATCATCCCGTTTATTGGCACGTGCTGGAGTTGATGATTTGCTATTGACGTTCGACTTGGATCAGCCCCTTCAACGGGTGTACATACATAATACATCCAGAGGCTCAATCTTCCTCCCCCAGTTCAAGTATAAGAGCAAGCGCAAGAGTCCTGACTCTCGTTTCCCAGTATCTCTTCACTCATTTCCCCCTAGTTTTTGTGTCGCGCCCTTTTCCACACACTCGAGAGAGCATTTCTATCGTCAGCCACGGCTCGACTGTTACGCGGGACGAAAGAGGGTGAGAGTCTCTGACAACGATGAAGCTTGGCCACCCTCTTCCTTAACAAGCAACAAGGGTGGAGAATTAATGAGAGAGGGCGCTTGGGCAGACACTTGTGGCTACCGCCCAACCCTAGTCACCCAACGTCTACTTCCCTTTCTACTTTACTCCCAACCAAATACATTCGTGAACACTTACTCATTTTACACATCCACTAATCCATCGTTGAATCCTCTGATCACAGCAATTCATGATACGTAGTACTTTCCAGACCAAAAATAAATTAGTTGGACAACATGGCACCTTAAACAAAATTTAATTACTATTTATCTACTAATTAGTATAAAAAGTTTTCTGTTAAATTTCTTGTATTTTTCTTATGCAATCGAAACTACTATACCTGTTGTTTTAAAGTATCTAAAATGACCAAACTTTTATTTGTAATTACTGAGATGTCGAAAAGTATCCACATTAAGGATTTAACAAGAATCACCATGATTTTTTCAAATAATTCTTACGAATAAAATGTTTCAGAATGTTAATGCTGAATAGATCCCTAAGATAATGTAATTTTGATTGATAGCCATGGTAGCTATTTTCCATCTAATGGATTTTATCTAAAATGAGCTTTTCATCTAAGTAATTCTAAGCTATATCAGAAACTCCAAGCTTGCGCCATAGTTATGATAACTGTGATCATCTGTTAAAATAATATTTTCCCAACACTAAAGCTGTAACATTGATTCTCATCATAACCCACCATAATTTCAGATATTCATTGCATTTTTAACCGTTTTTATAAAAAAATAGACATTATGGAGCTCATCATATTATTTGCCATTATGGAGTAGCGTCCCTATGACAAAAAAGACGCTATCTATTTTTTCATCGATTTTTATGTCATTAATCGATTTTAAATAATTATTTATATCAACAAAATACCTTTAGGCATAAAGAAAGTTTTTTATCAACAAATTAATCACTGTAAACGCGAATAAACTCATAAAAAATCGAATAAAAGTCCGAATAAAAATCACGACCCGTTAATCGAACCCGATTAGGGAAAAACTAATGCGCATAATTCGCATCAGCGCCGCAATTGTTTTTTAGCGCGTCAATTAATTATGCGCGAAATTTTGAATTTCAAAATTATGACGTTAAACTGAAATAAATTGTAAAAGAGTTTTTATAAACAATAATTATAAAAAATAAATCAATTGTTAACTGTTAAATATCAAAATTTATAAAAAAAGAAAACTAAAATAATAAAAAAGCCAATTAAATGCGACCGTAGTGCTATCTATTTATTTTATTCTCAACTTCAAACTCCAACATCTCCTCTTTAAAATTTCTGAATGTTGGCCTACTTACTCTAGACCATCAACTGCTGATCGAGAACAAATCTTAAACAGAGAGTGAGATGAATATCAGCTGTAAATGACGTTTATCACCATTTCCAAGAATTGTAATATGTACAATCTATCTAACAATCCTAGGTAAGATCATTATAAGATGGAGTAGAAATAAAATTCTTAGAATACAGACTTCTCAACAGTCAATTACGTCACGAGTGAAACTAAACAAAGTTGATATCAATTAGATGAAAAGTAACCTGTGAAGATCACATGTCGTAATGAAAAGAGTGTTTACGAGTGGACCTTCATGAAATAAATTAGTTGTATTGTCTAGTCTTTGATAATCAACATAGTGATTAAAGACTAGACAACATTTTTATATTTGAAATGCAGGCAAAATTATTAAGGTTAGTAGAATCATTACGAATCATCATCTATTTCAAATTTAACGTAATGTGTTAATCAGTTATTTATATCACTGTGCTATTTTTCCAGTCCATCAACCGCAAACACGACTTTCCTTGCCTGCAAAGTGCATGTCGGATTATGATAAAAGACAATTGTTTTTTTAATTAAACTTCACAACCAAAAGATAACAGCCATGGATGAAATTTGGTTTCGATTATCCAGCCAGCTTGAAGTTCTTCAGGTAATTTAAAACCTCATACATTTATTTAAAATGTTTATGAGTTGTAAATAATACTAAACACCTCTTTATAATTACATAATAATCATACTTTGTGAATAAATAATAGATTGAAGGTACGGCAGCAGCTCAACAAATGTATCACCTTCTTGTCTCTTGGTTGTCCCAAAGCCAACAAGCATTGCAGAGTATGTGCAATGAAGGATATGGTCAACATCTAAAGGACTTAGGCTCCAATATGCTTGTATGGAATCAAAAAGTTTGGGAACAAATTCAATTTGGGTATTACAATGCACAAATAAATTCTAGAGAATTGTACAGACAAATAGAAAGTTTATTTTCTGGAGAAGGTATACAATTTAAAATTCTATGCTCCATTATCATCATTCAATAAAATAAAATAATTTATTTACTTATCTATTTTCAGTATCCAAGAGAGACGTGACTTTTTGTACAGTAGGATTAATTATTGGTACTTTAATTGGTTATAACATTGGTTTAAACTGGAGACAAAATGTGAAACGGATTCATTATATGAGAGCTGTGATTTGCCATCATTATAGTGGCATCGAAGTAAATATTAAATACTCCAACAGATGAGAATTTTTCGGAGTAAAACTATTCCACTATGCATGTTTTCAGGGTGTATCAGTAATAGATGATGCAGAAGTGCCGTCCTTACAACAATCAAACGAGCTTTTAATTCAAGTTAAAGCAGCTTCAGTGAACGTAGTGGACGCAAAAATATGCTCAGGGTATTCAAAGGCCTATAGAAGAGTTCTAAATTCAGGCGTGAGTGTTCAACGATTCAGAATAGATCGGCATTATCCATTAATATCCTAGTGTATACTCTGCATTTAGCAACAGAAGGAGTTGCCAGTTGTTCTGGGCCGAGACTGCGCCGGAGTTGTGGTGGACATTGGTCAAAGTGTCGTTGGATTTGATGTCGGAGATGAGGTATTCTTGGCGGTTCCCTCATGGGCTTCTGGTACTATGTCAGAGTATTTAATTGCCACAGAGAATCAAGTGGCCAAAAAACCAAAGCTTCTATCATTCGAAGCAGCTGCTTGTTTACCCTACAGCGGTTGCATTGCGTGGGATGCTTTAGTAAACCAGTCAAGAATTGAAGAAGGAAATGCTAAAGGCAAACGGTATGAAAAAAAACTTCTCACAGCTACTCCAAATGCAATAAAAAATAAATATTATTGAAATTATTAATCAGAGTTTTAGTTTATGGAGCATCAACACCAGTTGGATGTATTTTGGTTCAACTAGTGAAGCTTTGGGGTGGCCATGTATCCGCTATTTGCAAACTTGAAGCAGCCAAAGTAATTAAAGCTCTCGGTGCCGACGATATTATTCCTTTAAATGACTGCGATATAGAAAAAGAGCTCGAACTTTATGATAAGTATGTGAAATTTTTATTAATTCAATCCAAAAATAAATTAATTTCAACTATTGAAAAATTTTTTATAGGTATCATGTAATATTTTATACGAACGATCGACCAAGTGACTATTACAAATTAAAAAGACGAGTAATGCCATATGGTTCTTTTGTATCAACAATTCCTCAAAGCTTAGCATCTGATTCATTTGGTTTTGTTTCTGGAAGCATATTTTCTGGATGTATTAGAATAAGATTATTATTTCAATACATGTGTGGAAGTAGTCGTTATCAATGGAACGAAGGCTCAAAAATAAAACCAACTTATTTAGAAATTTTAAGAGAGCTTGTTGATGCTGATCAACTACAGAGTGTTGTAGGTGCAGCATTCAAACCTAACCATATAGAACAAGCCTTAAATCACGTGCTAAGTCCTGATGTCATCGGTAGTACTATTATTAAATTCAAATGACTGCCAACCTACAGTAAATTGTTAAAATTCTGTAAAATTAGATTTAATAACGATGATAATAATATTTGTAATTATTTGATAAATTTTCAGTCTTCTGATAAATATGATATTTACAAAGCAATGGTTAATTGTATGAGGAATGTTACTACGTTTATTACATCTGTTAGAAGTTTATTTTATGAAATAAATCATTGATTAATAATTATTTTAATTTTTATATAACAAATTGCTCTTGGAAACTTGAGTATGAAAATTTATATACCTTAATTTATTAAATACCAAGAATTATAATAATTTAAAATTTTAATAGTCAGAAAAATATTATTTTTAATACTTCATTTTGGCTTTCCACGAAATTTGCTACCACCTGCAGCACCTCTTCCTCTCTTTGCAGGACCCTTTCCTTTTTTATCATCAGCCTGAAAAAGTTGATTTTGTATGAAAAATACTGAACAGTGAATGAAATAACTTAATAGAGCTGAAAAAATATTAAATCGCTCCAAAAATAATACCTTGCGTTTTGGTGTTGCTGACGTTGATGACACAACTGTAAAGAATCCATCAAGTCGACCCTGTACTGATGTATTTCGTGCTTTACATAATTTTTTTGCACCATTTCTCACTCGTTGCTCGTCAAATTGTTTTTCTGTACAAAGAAATTTAACCAATCCTTCTTCATCAGGCTCCTGCCATTTGAAATCAAATTCATTTGGGTCTGCAATTTCAGGGTTTAAGAATAATTGTCTTGCATCTTTATAATTCCAATTTTCAGGTACTTCATATTTTTTAGTATCCAAATTTTCGACAATTTTTTCAAGACAACGATGAGTTTTAATGAGTTCAATAGCTCTTTTAGGACCGATTCCTTTGATAGTTCCTGTGTAATCACATCCCAGCATAATACAAAGATCAACAAATTCTTCTTTGTTCAACTCCATTTCTGACAAAACTTTATCAAGATGAATTTCTTGAACAGGTAGTTTTTTTGCTTCACTAAATGTTAATCGTCGAAGAAGAACATTGCTACCAAAAGTAAGAGCATCCATATCTTCAGTAGCTGCTGCAAATACTTTTCCTGCTTTGACTAATTCAGCACATTGAGCTTCAGCTTCACAGGGAGCCTTCAAATTAATTAATTATTATTATAGGTAAATTCAAAAGGAGCTAAAGAATTAAATGTAAAAATAATATTATATACTTTTAAATTAATTATAACTCACAGTTATAAAAGGAATTCCCATGAGAGTTAGGAGTTGTTTCGCTTCTCTAGTATGATTATCATTCACCTTTACTAATCGTCTATTAAATCTGTCAATATCTTCTGTATTTCCAGCTTCTTCAGCAGCCGCCAGGGCTTTCTGTGCTTCTTCTCTTCTTTCAGCTCTCTTAACTAATTCACCTCCTTTTAAATTAGGTGGTTTTCCATCGAAAACATAAATAGGCTTCACTCCATTTTCGACTAGTCTGATAGTTCTATAAAATGTACCCATTAAATGACTTGTAGTCTCACCATCAGCAGATGTTAATTGAGCTCCTTCACTTCTGACAGCAATTAAAAATTGATAAAGACACATCGAAGCATCGATAGCAATTTTCCGGCCTAAAAATTAATATTAAAGGAAGTATTAAAATATTTCTGATAATGTCTCATACATAAAATGTTTTTATAATATCAAACAAATCATTACTTACCAAAATAATGTTTTAATTCGCTTTCTTTGATAGCACTTGGTGCCCAATCAGCAATAACTTTAGATAATCCGTGAATTCCCATGCTTGTTGGACTATGTTTTAATAATTATCAATAAAAATCTACAAAAACTTATGTTCATGGGTTAAAATAAACGTAAAGACGCAGAAAGGCTTCTTCTATGGAGTTTTCCCGCGCCATGAAACAATTCAGGAAAAGCTAGGTGCGGTTGTGGCGACATCTATATATATATATATAGTTTGATGACATGTGGTAACACGTGAGAATTGTCAATAACCTAAAAAAATTTATAAATAAATTGATTATTTAAAAATTTTTCATAAACTTTAGTTAAAAAATGAGTAAACAGTACGATTTAATAAAAACAATTGCTGATGATGAAGAGGTTCAGAATTTTTCAGAAAATTCTGATGAAGAAGATGATGTGAGTAACATTGTTCGATCTAATATTTTACATAATTTTGTATTAACAATTATAATCATAATTATTTATTTATTTAGCTATAATTATAATGTATTTTTAAATAGTTTCAGCCAAGAAAACAGAAAAAAAAAGAAAATAAAGATTTTGATAACAACTTTGAATTTATATCTGATGCATCGGAGTACAATCAAGATACTTGGAATGATTTGAGTAAATATATAAAAAGGAAGGCAAAAACGCAGCTTGATGATAAAATTAAACGATTTCGTAAAGACACAGATTTTAATGATGAAATAAAACTTGAAGAAAATGAGGAAGATAATGGAATTTATCTGTCAGATGAAGATTTGAAAAAAGACGTATTTAAAACAAAGGAAAAGAAAGGCAAGAAAAAAAAATGATAAAGAGGAACTCATGGACTTTGAAGAAAGTGCTCAAGCAGATAATTTTGCTACTTTTCATCAAATGAATTTGTCACGACCGCTATTGAAAGCCGTTACTGCTATGAATTTTGTTCATCCAACACCTATTCAAGCTGCTACAATTCCTGTAGCTTTAATGGGAAGAGATATTTGTGGTTGTGCTGCTACTGGAACAGGTAAAACGGCAGCTTATATGCTTCCAACTTTGGAGAGATTACTTTATAGGCCTGTGGACGGTCCAGCAATAACAAGAGTTTTAGTCTTGGTACCAACTCGAGAATTAGGAGTCCAAGTGTATCAAGTAGCAAGGCAATTAAGTCAATCTACAACTGTAGAAATAGGATTATCAGTTGGAGGTCTTGATTTAAAAGTTCAAGAAAATGTTTTGAGAAAGAATCCAGATATTGTAATTGCAACTCCTGGACGTTTAATTGATCATATTGCGAATACTCCAACTTTCTCGCTTGATAATATTGAAGTGTTGATATTAGACGAAGCAGATCGGATGTTGGATGAATATTTTGCTGAACAGATGAAGCATATTGTTAAGCAGTGTTCTAGAAGCCGTCAAACAATCTTATTTTCTGCTACAATGACGGAAGAAGTTAAAGATTTAGCAGCAGTTTCTCTTGACAAACCTGTCAAAGTGTTTGTTGATAGTAACCAAGAAGTTGCTTTCACTTTACGTCAAGAGTTTATAAGAATTAGGAAAGAGCATGAAGGAGATCGAGAAGCTGTTTTAGCTGCATTAATTTGTCGAACTTTTCATGACCATACAATGGTTTTTGTACAAACTAAAAAACAAGCTCATAGACTTCACATTTTATTAGGTTTGTTAGGAGTTAAAGTTGGAGAATTACATGGTAATTTAACTCAGCCTCAACGTTTGGAAAATTTACGAAAGTTTAAAGATGAAGAAATCGATGTATTGTTAGCAACAGATGTAGCTGCTAGAGGTTTAGATATTAGTGGAGTTAAGACTGTGATAAACTTTGTCATGCCGCCTACGCTTCAGCATTACATTCATCGAGTTGGTCGTACAGCTCGTGCAGGTCGTGTTGGAGTATCCGTGTCGCTTGCTGGTGAACAAGAACGTTCATTAGTGAAACAGATTATTAAGAATGCTAAAAATCCAGTCAAAAATAGGATTATTCCTCCAGATATAATCGCAAAGTATACTAATAAACTACAAGCACTTGAAGAGGATGTAGAGAAAATTTTGCAAGAAGAGAAAAGTGAGAAAGAGCTTGCAAAAGTTGAAAATCAAGCGAATCGGGTTGAAAAAATATTAAAAGAAGCAGACGATAAGGACAATAGGAGTTGGTTTCAGACGAATAAAGAAAGAAAATTAGAAAAAGGTAATTTTTTGAATATAATTATTATAATTAAATTTACTCAATTTATTCAAAACAATACTTTTATTAATATAATTACAAATTTTAAATTTTAGCAAGTTTAAAACTGAGCGAGAAGCCGAAAAAGTTAAAGAAGAACAATGGTTTGCCTAGTAATTTAGTTGAAGAAAAATCGAAAAAGGGTAAAAAGAAAAAAGCACCCGAAATCGATCCAGCTGAAGAAAGAGCAATGAAAGAGTTAGAAAAAGTAGCAGCTTATCAAGCTCGGTTTATAAAGAGGAAAAATAAATTGAAGAAAATTCGAACTGTTGTTGAAGACAAAGATAAACGATCATTTAATCAAAAAGGTAATTTTTTCGCAAAAATCTTATTCAGAGATAAAAATGAAAAAAATAAATTTAATTTGACATTCTTTTTAGGATCTTCTAAACGTGCAAAATCTTCGTTTGCTGCTGATCTTACTGATGTCAGTAAAAAGGGAGTGAAGAAGTTACGATATGAGTAAGTGCATTTAAATAAATTGCAGTAATTCTATTAATAGAATAAGTTAATGAATAATTTATAAATATTAATCTTGAAATTAAAAATACTATATTAATATTATAAATATTGTTAATTAAAAATTCTGTTTTTCATTGCAGAGCAAACGTAAAACAAAAGCAAAAATTTGGAAAATCATCAAAGAAACCAAAACCCGGTCAAAAAACATCTCAAAAACACAAAAGAAAATAAAAAATAAACATCTTAATTGTAAATGGTTGTAATCATATTATCAAATAGATTTTTTTACTCATCTAAATGATTGTTCAAGTAGTTTTTTCATTTTATTATAGAACCAATACAATACTTCCTTTATGTCACAGATTGTGAAACGGATAGTACTATGATCATCTGATTTTTTGCAAGTATGTTTTATTTGATAAACCATGATCTGATCACAGAAATCAGTATATTCATAAGTTCATTGTTGTTATTATAATAATTATTATTGATATTTGTATTAGGTATGATTTTCATTATCAAATTAAAAAATGGATTTACAATACAGTTACTGACCACAATATGACCATATTTCAGTAGTAGATCCTCTAAAAGTACTGAAATTTTTTAATATTATTTCACTTTACGTCTTAGCGTTAAAAACTTATTTAATAACATTTGAAACTTCTGTGAAGAGATCTATGGATTTTATTTTATCATAATTATGAAATAATGTCACACTTTGTAATCATCTCATTCATTCATTTTACAATCTCGCTCATAAATTTAATATTACATAATACCTATCATAATCTTATATTATGTTTAAAAAATAAATTGTAAGACCTAGGCCCATGAAAAATGGATTTGTCCAATGTGAATGCCAATTTCATCACGAATTTCATATTTTTAAATATTTTTTTTTTGTTCATCATTTTCTTTTTAGAATTCATCAATCTTTTAGTAACATCATAATTCATTAATAACATAAAATAAACAATATCCTATTTTTTTTATTATTTTTTCTTTCATTTAAATAAAATTATAACAAAGTGAATTGAAGAAATTGTGCACTTACAGAAAATATTGGTAGTTAAAATTAGTACTTTTGTATTGGATATAACTGAAAAAGAAGAAATCAGTGGGCTATTCTTCATTCCATTAGAGGAGAAATTAACTTATTTGTGTTAATACACTAAAATTAATATTTATGTATCAATAGTATCTGGAACACTGTATTGAAAAATCTCAGTTGCAATGTAAATCATTTTGTTTGATTTTGATTGTTTTTATAAAATATATAATTAATATACTTCTTTAAAACATGCGACACAATCATATTGTCTCTTTCACAGATCGACATTCTCCAAATGTGACAGAAAATATTCAGTATTAACATATTAAATTATTTATTTAGTAAAATATATTCCATTTTATTTAAATTGAAAAAAAGTCAAAGCATTTTCAAGTAAAATAATACTTCAGACAATCAATTGAAAGAATTTACGGTGAATAATTAAAAAAAGAAAATCAAAACGCATTCATTATTCAAAATTAAAAAAAAAAATTTATAAAAAATCAAACACATTTTTTACATGTTACTTTGAATCCGCAAAGGCGAAAGAGATAGTTTTATAATAAGTGAAATATTAAAAAAAATACTTTAAAATTTGAGTCATAATTCCAATCATCCAGATGAACAGACATTCTAGATCAAGTTGTTAATAACAATTGTTAAAAATGAAAGTGAAAATTTGAAAAAAAAACAAAGAGAAATAATAAAATGAAAATTTCCTGTTCAAGATTGAATGTATATCCTTAACAGCTTATAGTCTAAGAATACGCGAACGACTTAGGTGTATTAATTGTTGTACATAACCAAAATATTCTGTTTTCTAATTTGTAAAGTGCTTTTAGGTTTTTTCCGGCTTATCATAGCCTTAAATTAATTCATTTTCACTTGAGTTCTGTTCAGCATACATTTCATACAATTATTTTACTTTTTCATCTCGTGCCCTCTTTGTTGGTGGTTCGTCAATCTGAAAATACAAATATATTTAATTTAATACTTTTATATTAATTTGAATTAAATAAATAATTATGTAAAACATAATTCAGTATTGAAAATCTGAAGTTAATCATTATTCCATATTTACAAACCTCATCTTCCATTCCTGGTAGCTGAATTCTAGTCTCAGATGCTTCAGCAGGCTGAAAAAAATTTTCTTTTTTATTCTGCTACTTTTGAATTTGTTCATTATCTTTACAATAATCTAATTAATTAAGGATAACGCGAACATCTACTTATCTAATTAAAAATCATTACCTGAGCATCAATACATTCCATTTCTCCAATTTGCAGCTTGAAAATCGAAGTAAACGACAATAATTTTAAAGCTTTATTACTTAGATAAAGTATCCAATTGATAGCACATCAATTTAGGTACCAAAGTCTTCTATTCTAAGAGTGTTAATAATCAAAACTTTGCTAAAAATTGGGTTACTTTATCCAACTAAACGAATTTCTTAAGCGTCTTGATAATAAAAATGTGTAATATGCGAATTTTTTATTGTTAAAGTAAACTTAATAATAAATTTTGAATAATAAGAAAAAGATAGATACTTACTCTAGCGTCAGTTTCATTAGGTCCAATTCCGACTTCCTTTTGTTGTTTTCCCTTTGTCCTTCTAGCAGATCTCTCGCTAACATTGTGAATATTAAGACTACTTTTACCCTTTGAACTCGTCATATTAATTTGCATTTCTGTCGGAAGATAAATAGTTTGATTCGATATCAAATCATCAGTTCTCTTAAAGTACATTGTTGGAATTCGCGTTTCACTTGGAAATTCTTTCATATCAAAGTTTGTAGTTTTAGTGTAAATAACATTCATTGCAAGATCACAGACTGCCCATAATTTATGATTCATACTTTCATCATCAGGCCTTAAAGCATCTTTATGAACTTTCATACGTTCTATAAGATTTTTATAGAATCCATAACAATAATATTCATTTTTGGTGATGAGAGGTTCAAGAATAAACCATAGACATTGTTGAATAACTTTGAGTTGAGATACGTCCATATTATCAGTAAATTCAGGGTCATGAGCAAGAATTGGAACCGCAAAAACTAGCATGTAATCTGGTAAAATATGGGGTAATTGACCCATTGCCCTTTCAGCTGTCCCTAAAGACAAAGCTTTGACATAATCCCTTCTTCTGTTGATATCAGTCTGCATATAAGTTTTCAACAGACATTTTAATTTTTTATCAGTTTCTTTACCAGCAAGTGCATAATATCCCATAAAATCTAGTGGTAGACATTTATTAGGAATTCCAGTGCCTAAACCACGATGTAATTTACTACTGAATGCTTCTCTGACTTCTTTGACTTCATCAATCATCAATTGAGACAAATTGTAGAATTGTTCAGCAGTAAATTGATCCCCAACACCTTTTTGCTCACAGATCTTCAACATAGAGCATCCTGCCTGGAGTCTCAACCAGCTCATTTCAGCACGACTTAATCTTCCTTGTTGAAGAAGATCTCCTTTATTAACCACAAAAGCATTTAACATTCTAAAAGTTTTTTGAGCAGACAAATTATCAGTTTTTAAGCCCAACAACCAACGAGCCATACACTTAAGACCCTCTAATCGGCATCGAGTTTCTTCTGGAAGTTGTTCTTCCGGGCACCAATCACCTTCAATAGTATTAGCAGTTGATTCACTATTCTCTTTTACCAAAAGCTCTTTTACGATTTTTCTGGACACCATATTTTTTATTGATATATGATATTTATCTGGAAGATTATAAGCAATGTGTCCTAATGTAACAATTGACGTTCGATAATGTTCTGACGTAGGAATAAGTGTTGTTTTAATTCTCTCGATAATTTCAGGGAAGATTGTATCATGAATATTCGTCATATTGACAAATAAACAACGAATTGCCTGTTTAGCTTGCTTTGGAGTGCCTGTGAGTGCAAATTTCTTACAAATCGGAACCATTAAATTCATGATATCTGGTGCAACATCACAAAGAGGTTTGTACTTTCCAAGAAATGTGAATATAGATAGTACTAAAGCTCCTACCATTTCATCTTCTAGCTCTAAGAGTTGCACAAGCTGCATAAGAATGTCATTATGGAGAAAATGAGGGCCAAAGACGAAAGATAAAATCACTAGAAGTCTCAATCCTTTTTCTCCGGCATTATTTGGGTTTAGTCCTATTTCATCAATAGTATTTCCACCTCTTAAACAATCTTCCACATATTTTATTAATATTCTGATAGCTTCTTCATCAATTATTACTGATGATACACGTTCAAGTAACATTTTCACTGTATTATAATAAAGATTTGTCATTACTGGTTGACCAAGTTTTTTTAAAACCATTGAAATCGTATCTGCACATTCTTTGCATGATACATTCGGTCGAACAATCGTTTCCATTCCTTGTAATAATGTTGAATCTTTCTTCATGTGAGCACTAAATTTTTGAAGAAATTCCAAAACCTTCATTGGATCTGGAAGAAAGCGCGATATTTGTAAAATTTTACTCATCAATTCAGTATTATTCTCTGATTTCTTTACGAGTTCCAACCATTCAGCAACTGCTCGACGAACAGCTAATTGATGCTTTTGAAGCTCTACAAAAGCCTTAGACGCATGATCATCAATAGTTCCTAAAAGATGGTATAACTTTTTCATTCTTTCATCTGGTGGTAGTTGATAAGGAACTAAACATGTGTTCAAAAGTCTCTCCACAAGTAATCTATCTTCCATTCCAGTCATATAATAGCCATGAAGAATTTTATCTTTGATCCAAGTCACTGCTTTCTTTGTTGCTTGAGGTACATCGGCATCATTTAAATGTTTTTTGTAAATCATTGCTAAGCCTGACATTGCTTCTTTCCTTATTTTGAATTTCTTATCTAAAGTTCTTTCTTTGACAAACTCTAATAGATCTTCACTATCAGAAACAACTTCAAAATCACGTCGAGCTGTTGACACAATAGCCATTACCACTTCATAACGCACATTTTCATCTGCATCATGTTGACGCATTTTCAAAGTCTCTGTTATATCTTTACGAAGCTCCGGATGATTTAAAAGGAAGTGCATAGAATATTGAACGCATTTTATACGAATAGCAACACTGATATCATTAAATCTTCCCAAAAATGCACGCCATAATTGAGTGTGTTGAGTAGCTAATTGAGAATTCTTTTCAGAAAACATTCTTGCTAATAAAGCTACAGCATTTAGTCGTTCAGTTTCTGAAGAAGATTTTAGTTTACACTCCAACTGCGGAAGAACTGATAATAGCACACTAGGACATATATGATTGAGTTCGTAGATTAAATCGTATACTTTTTTACATATTTGTAAACCTTTTTCTTCTTTTCCAAGAATTAAAACGTGGTTGAAAAACTGTAATATAAACACAAAAAATAATTGAAGTCAGCGTTCTATTTATTATACTATATAACTGGGCAATGAAAAATATTTACCGCTTGAATATATGGTTCCAAGGTTTCACTGCACTTGATAATTAATTCCTTGGCTAACCAGTAAGCATTTTTCTTATGAGTTTTATTTGGATCGACGATATTCATAAGAATAATATCCAATAATTCGTTACTAACACTATCTGATTCTGTGATTAACGGGCTTAGTACTTCCAACATAAAACTCTTAACTTTTCCGGAGTGTTCATCACTGAAATAAATCCAACCATTTAATTTTAAAAATAATAAAATAAATGTCAACTTACACAAAGATGCATTTACTTACTTGACTATTCTAAACATAAGAGAGAAAAGAGCACAGAATATTTCTTGGCAATCTTCCAACTCAAAGCACATGTTGAAGGACTTGACATACGCCAAATTTTCCAACAAATAAAAGTATCTTTTGAAAGCTGGATCTTTGGGATCTTTTAATCCAGCCAGTTGTTTAATAAGAAAAAGAAAAATGCCTTTAACTTGATCAGCATCTTTGTAAGGAGCTTCTGGAGCATAAACTCTCAAAACATCAGCTATACAGCAAGCTATGAGCAACTGAACATCTTTACTTGGATGTTGAAGAAAGTAGTCTTCAGCTAAATGAAGAGCTAAAGGAATGTACTGTTGATAAGCTCCTTCATCTTGACCCATGGCTTGCAATGTGTGGGCAAGCGTCTACGAAACAAAAAAACAATATTAACTCTGACAATAGTTCTATGAGTCTAGATTGATAGTTAAATAAATTCATAAGCATACCTTCAATCTTCTAATTAATTCATCTGCTCCAAGATCTTCAGTAACTGGTCTACACCCCGCAGGGTACACTATTTCTGACATTTTGTCTATTTTTTCTTTCTTTCTTACTACTCTGAATCACAACTAATCTTAAAACACTTTCCAAACTCTGTAACAAAATGTTAATCACTTAGTTTTGATTTTGTCATGAATTAATTTTCATATTCATGTGCTTTATTGATTATGAATAAGTATAATTTGCAACAAAAATAAATAAAATACTAAAAAATCTTGTCTTGAAGTAGGTTTCCAGGTTATGTCAGTGTACGCACACGTATACAAACTGGTAACGTAAACAAATTAATATTTTCACTTGTTTTCAATGGAAAAAAAACATTTCAGAATAAACGAATAAAAATGGATTAGTTAGGAATTAGTTATGAATAAATTTAACACAAAAACATTACCGTAAGATATGCATAGACACCGCAAGGTCTATGAATCGCAAAGTATCAATAAAGCAAATATATCTGTCGTGAACACACGGCGCTCGTTTAATTTGTCACTTATTCTTTACTATACAAAATGTTTTTCCAATTATTTATTGGTATACCAGCTTGATAATAATATTTCCCACACTTTATATGTCTTTAGCATGTTAGAAAGGTCAAAACATCGGCAAAAAAATTAAGAAACTCAGTTTGGTGAACGGTTAACCGTGAATTAAACGACGCGACTGCAATTGTACCACTTGAAGTTAGCAGTGCATCATGTTTTAACATAGTTGCCGCGAATATCAATTGTCACTGCTATCATATTGAATAAATATTCTATTTCCTAATGAATTTGATGATAAAAATATGGGAACAATAAATAAGTTTATATAAAAACTATCCTACATTCTATAAATACAATTTTTTAGTCAGGATTTAAATAAAAATAATTAATTAAGACGAATAGTTAACCACTATCGATGTCAACTTTCGATGTTTATCAAAATAGTCAAATACACTTTTTTTTGTTTTTTTCATCAAATTTTTAAGATGTTGTTTATAAATTTTGAATTATTCATAAATCAATAAGAATGTTGTTATAACTTATTACAACTTTTTTAAGAAAAAAAGTTTTCATATTAATAAAAATGAAAAATAAAATTTCATTTGAGTTTAGAACTTCCTGCAAGGAAGGACATTTTTCCTAAAAACATCGAACGACGTGGCATCATTTGATACTGCTTGAAGTTGGTCAATAATCAGTAAAATTAAGATGAAGAACCTTTTCCGGCCTCTTTGGCGTTAGCACGTGTACGTGTATTACACTGGTTCAGCGCTGATCAGTTTTTGATTAAAAGGACTGGATCATCTCGACCAGGTTAATTAATCTATCATGGTAAGAAAATTTTTATTACATCTTAATAACTTTCAAAACATTTTTTCTTCAATTTTTTTTTTTTTCTATCACAAATATGCACTTTTAAATTGAGAATGAGGTTATGAATCAGTGTATCATGACCAATGTTATATACTTATTTATTCCTATAAAATAATCTGAATTCATGTTATAAAATTTTTATTTATTATTCCAGGCTAGTTTAAAAGCAGATAATCCTGAAAAACCAGGACAAGAAGCAGCACCAGTTCATCGTATTCGAATTACATTGACCTCAAGAAATGTACGGTCATTGGAAAAAGGTTAGTCGAGTCTGTGTTTACTATAAACACTGAACATTACATTGTTGTAGATTAATACAATCGATTATATTGATTACAGTATGTTCTGACTTAATAAGTGGTGCAAAAAGACAAAAACTAAAGGTAAAAGGACCCGTTCGTATGCCTACGAAAATTTTAAGAATCACAACTCGAAAAACTCCTTGTGGAGAAGGTTCAAAAACATGGGATCGTTTTCAAATGAGAATTCATAAAAGAGTAATTGATCTTTACTCGCCATCTGAAATCGTAAAACAAATTACGAGCATCAATATTGAACCTGGTGTAGAAGTTGAAGTCACCATTGCAAATGATTAAATTATGAGAAAATCATGAAATATGTCAATTTTCATAACAATTGAAAAATAAAACAATTTTTCTGTAAACTTGTTTATTATATTAATTCCTTCCATCTCAAAAATAATATTAAAGTCCATTGTTTTTTATATTAAATTGAGTTGAAATAATTATCAGTAATTGATAATTTTTCTCTTCATTAATATTTTTACAAACATTGAAATAATTGAAAATAGGTATCAAATACTTTATGAATTTTATTATTTATAAAATTTTATTATAATATTGAATATTAAATCAATTATTTATCCAACGGTGTGATACTGATCGATCCGTGTACAATTTAATAGTCAGGCTTAATCTTCTTCCTGAGATTCTTGACCTGCTTTACTGTTTCGACCTTCATCTTCACTGCCACTGAATTCACCCATACCTTCAATGTCTTCTTCATCGTCATCACCAGCTACTTGAGCATTTTCCATTTCTGCTCGTTCCATTTGTCTTGCTAGCTCAGCTTCATCAGTTGCTGTAACTACTTTAGGCTGCAAAAGAAAATAAATACAATTAAAATTTTAACTAATATTTTCTAAACTTTCGGAAATACAACTATTTACAAAATTTAACATACCGCCATTTTAATGTCAAAGACACCGCCGAGAGATGTAATTTTTTCTTTAATAACTTCGATAGCATCATTAAGCGCTTTTAAACCATCTGATTTTTCGGGAGTTGAAGTTGTCATAACATAAAGAGGAGGTGCTATTAAATTAATTTTAATTGGAAGTTCTTCTGTAGAAAGAGCAAGACCAGCTTTTAAAGCAGTTTTTACTGCATCAATTCCTTCATAACCGTAACAAGCAACTTCAACATCAGCTCGGATCTTGACTGCTTGAGAAGTAAGCTTTCTTTTGATATTATTGAGCAAAACTTCTTTTGTCTTTTCGTCTAGTCCACATTCTGCAAGAATGGAAGGATCCCTAAAACAATATTAATGAGTAGAAGGCAAAGATTTTTTTTTTAGTCTTAAATAAATGAAAGTGAAAAAAATATCTTATTGAAATTAACTTACAATACTGCTTGTTTGAAAAAATCATAGGCAGAAGCTTTTTGTTTTTTATATTTTTCTTCAAAATGCCAGGCGGTTTTTTGATATAAATCTTCGAGTTGTTCATCACTATCATAATGGAGTAATTCGGCAACGTGTCGTAGGATTGAATTAACTGCTTTAGCTTTAGCGTACCTCTCGGTACACTTTTCAACATCTTCTGATGATACTCGACGTTTACTCAAGTCAATATATCCTAAAAAAAAAATCAATTACAATTAGCTAAGAAAATGACTACGCAACTTGGAATGAAGAATTCTAAGATAAAATAATGTATACTTTAATATTAAAAATAATTTACCTTTCTCTTTATCAACTCGAATAACAACCACAGGTTCTGTTTTTCCTACCCTAATAAGTTTATTAATTGATCTAATACGCCTCCTGGACAATTCAGATAACAGAATCATCCCTTCAATATTATTATACTCCAATAAATGAACATAGGCTCCCATTTCTGCTATACTTCGTACATTAACCATGACAACATCTTCAACCTCCGGATATTTTTCCTTATAAAAACGACACGAAAGAACCATGATGCTGAAAAAATTATTATATTATTTTTAATAATTTAATATTTATTTATCTCATGTATAATTTAACTCACGTAATCTGAGAGGTTATATTTAAGGTTAAATGAAAAAATGATTGATAATTATGACAATACTATAATTTGAGGTTACCTGAATAATTGTAGTACTACAACAATATCTCAATAGTTATTAAACACTTGTAAAACCAAATAATGTTTGCTGAAAAATTATAAAATGCTTTAAAAATCCATGTGGAAACTTGTGTTAGCTGTTGACTGATGAAAAAGAATGCAGTGATCCTCAATTTACATGCAAACAAAATTAAAGTCTGGTTCTCAACCACTTATTTACATGACTTGATTATACTATACACTTTACGTACTTTACTGTACTTTGTTGATAGGAATTCGATGTTAATGGAGTAACCATCAATTCATAAATTTTTCATTAGTCTCTAATAGTATTAAAAATAATTGGTAATTAGAGTGGACTTAGGTAAAACAATTAATTTGGACACGTTTTAAAAGCGTAATATGACCTTTGGAAGCTGATACATGTATTGAAAGTGGTTTCTATGTTGGTTATGCTGAGAAATAACATCAGCTGACGGTATATCTCCAATGACAATCGTTTTCGTGGTCAACATTCGACACAAATGTATCCAGCAGGTTAGAAAAAACGTTTAATGTTGTTAAAAAAGAAGAAAAAAAACAAAGGAAAATAATGATTCATTAATTATAATCGGTAATTATTAGAACTCTTGATAAGTGATTGTATTCTGAACCCGTGCAGCAATACGATTTATTTTTGTCGATATTAGAAGATTAACAGTCAACATTAAAAATGCCTTTCGTTACAAGAAACTGTCCTCACATGTGTAATCATTCAGACTTTTCAATCATCGAAGCAATTTTTGCCCAAAAAGAAAAATTCACCAAGTGTAGTGACTGTGACAATGAAGGCCCCAATTTGTGGCTATGTCTTTATCCTGGTTGTCGATGGGTTGGGTGCTCCGAGAATCATTTAGATCACAATACAATCCATAACACGAAAAATCCACTTCATTGTACCCATATGAACCTTACGTCTAACAGAATCTGGTGTTACATCTGTAATAAAGAAGTCTTAGCTAGGCATATACCATCTCCACCACTTTCTCCTAGCCAAATGGACACTAAATTTGATAGAATAAAGTACTCTGGAGATGTTCCCACAATTCTAGATAACAAGGTTGAATTCGACACAAGAGTGCTTATCGATAGGTAGCTATAAAATTTTTATTTATATGTTCTTTCATTTAAACACATTACTAATTTAAATTTTTGCAGATTCTATTGTAATAATGAGCAAAAATATGAAAGATATTTTCATGAAAGGTCTGGAGATTCTCCTGATAGTAGTGACTCCGAAGATAGTAAAGATTTTTCTGGTAAACCAAGAGGTTTAGTCGGCCTACAGAATATAGGAAATACCTGTTACATGAATGCAGCACTTCAAGCACTATCAAATGTCGTTCCTCTCACTCAATTCTTTTTAGAGTGTGGCCATATGGTTAATTATATCGCAAAGGAGAGAAAACCTGGATTGAGTTTAAGTTACATGAACTTAATCAAAGATATGTGGAATAGGAAGACTAGAGGATACGTTGTTCCTAATGGAATTTTGTCAGGAATCCGAGCTGTAAATCCAATGTTTCGAGGATATCATCAACATGACACTCAAGAATTTCTTCGATGTTTTATGGATCAACTTCATGAAGAGTTAAAAGAACGTGTAGAAGAGGATAGAGAAATAAATTATAACATGAAAAATATGAGCGAACAGTCATCGGAAGATGAAGAGACAGAAATAGATGGGAATGATTCCAGTCAATCTGATGCTGAATATGAAACTTGTGATTCGGGAGTTAGTGAACAAAGTTCACTAAGTGATGATGGAGAACGTGGCATGAAAAGAAGATACTCACGAGTATCACAATCAGAAAAGCTGAGAAGTAAATTTACTACTAGGAATATAAAAAAAAGTGTTGATGAAACTTTCGCTCAACCTCAAAGATCACTTCAAAGCTCTCCTACTAAACACAGAGTAAAAAAGCCTGTAAAGACGCGAAGTATTATAAGTGACGTTTTTGATGGAAAACTTCTTAGCAGTGTTCAATGTTTAACGTGTGATCGAATATCAACTCGGGTCGAAACTTTCCAAGATTTATCATTACCCATTCCAAGTAGAGACCATATAGACATGTTGCATCAAGGATCTTTAACACCACAAAAAGCAGGACCATGTTCTGATGTTGTTTACGTAGCAAATCAATCAAGTTGGTTTTCTTGGTTCTTTCAGTTATTGCGTTCATGGATTTGGGGACCAGTTGTAAGTCTGCACGATTGTCTGGCAGCATTTTTCAGTGCAGATGAATTAAAAGGAGACAATGTTTACAGCTGTGAGAAATGTAATAAGTTACGTAATGGAATTAAATATTGTAAGGTACTAGAGTTACCTGAAGTATTGTGTATACATTTAAAAAGATTTAGACATGAATTGATGTTTAGTTCAAAAATAGCTAATTATGTATCATTTCCTCTTGATGGGCTTGATATGCGTCCGTATTTACATAAAGAGTGCGTATCTAAAGTAGCTACTTATGATTTGATTTCGGTAATATGCCATCATGGTACTGCTGGAGGTGGTCATTACACTTGCTACGCACTGAACATTGACGTCAACCAATGGTTTGAATTTGACGATCAATGTGTTACCCAAGTATCGTCAGAAACAGTTCGAAATTGTGAAGCCTATGTATTATTCTATAAAAAACGTTCGCCAGAAATGCTTCAATGTCGCGATAAAACAATGGAATTAATGGAGATGTCTTCTAAAGTTCCGGAATTGAATTTCTTCGTCTCCCGTCAATGGATTAATCGGTTCAATACTTTCTCAGAACCTGGACCGATAGATAATTCTGATTTTTTGTGTCCTCATGGTGGTGTCAATCCCATCAGATCTGCATTTGTAAACAAATTAAGTACGCCTCTCCCTCAAGCAGTTTGGGAGTATCTTTATAATACTTTTGGTGGTGGACCAGCTTGTTCGCATTTGTATGAGTGTCCAACTTGTGAAGAAAAGTATGAGACACTTCAAAAACGTCGACAGTACGAAATGGAAATTTTCCAACGATATAACAGCATGGAAAATTCTACTGCGATTTATGCAGTAGCAATGTCATGGCTGCGACAATGGCAAAACTTTGTTAAAGGCAAAGAAATTCAACCACCTGGACCAATTGATAATTCGTCGATTATAATTAACATTAATGGGCAAAAAGATTTAAAACCAGGTAAGTTTATCAATCCAAAAGGATATATATTACTAAAAATATGTTGTTGTGTGAGTTGGTAAACTTTTATACAATTATTTTAGGGTCTGATTGTGCTCAAGTATCTGAAGAAGTTTGGCAGTGTTTTGTCAACATTTACGGTGGCGGACCAGAGTTAATGCTATCATGTCAAAGGCCAACATCGAATACTTCTGTACATTCCACGTCACCTTCAAATATGTTGGATCAAAATCCGAAATCGAACCGTTTGGAATCTAAAATCAATAAAAACACGGTAACCAAAAGCTCAGAAACACTTTCGCAGCAAGATAGTGCTATCGAATGTTTGACGTCTGATAGCGATTCATTGAAATCGCAACGGGTGACAAGTGGATAGACTTCTGTTTGGCATTCAAGTTAAATTTAAAGAATTGTTCCTTTATTTATTTGGTGGATCAATTTCCATACCACGAACGTTTTAAGTGCACTTGATAAAATGAAAACCAATAAGTCCATGCATTATCGAACTGAATTCAAAACTTTTATCTGTTTAGATTTTATATCACATTTCATTAAATAATTATTTATTAATTGTTTAATTGTTAAATTGCAGTCACTTATTTCAGTTAATTATGTGCAGATTATTTTATATATGTTCTATTAAAGAACAAATTATTCTTATAATAAACATCTGAGTATTATTATGATTATTGTTTAGTGTTTAAATAATTTGAATATTTTCTTCCATTATAAATATTAATAATAAATTGTGCAATTTTTAAATGTAATATTAACCTAATTTTATTCTTTTAAAATAAGCACGTAACGTTCGAAAAATGCACTTTATTGATAGCCAAATTAGACAATTATTGGGTTCATTTAAAATATGTTTAATTTCAATTATTTTTGATTGTTGGGTTACTTTTTAATAACTTATAATTTGTCTTATTTTTATTCTTCTGTTTGTTTAATTTCGTTTACTTTTTTCGAGTAATTATCATTACTTACATGTTACATAACACATTGTTATTTGTATCACACCTCCATGTACAAAGGCATTTCACAAAACTAACTGCACTCCGAATAATTCCAAAATATTTTTTTTTATCAATAATTTATAAAAAAATTTAAATCTACTTAACAAAATGAACAATAATGGGAGCAATCTCAGCCTTGACTGATAATCGAATTCAAATTTTTAATAATGTTTATTTTTTTTAATTGAATTTGTGTGAAATGCCACGTTTGAATGTATTAGTTTAAGTAGAAACTCGAAAATTAAAATACAAAAATTGTCTTAAAAATTTTTTTTATTATTCTTTCTGTTGGGTTTCATTTATTGTAACTTATTAATTGTTAAAATCAACATGCAAAGTAATGAAAGTAAAGTAATAGTTGATAATTTATGTTAAATTAACTAACATTTAATTAATGAAAATCTAAATCTATTAGTTGCACTATTTATAAAAATTAATTTCCAAATTATTTTATTCAATCAGAAAAAATATAATTATAGCTCTAAACAAACGATGATTTTTTGAATTTTCATTAACAATGTAATTAAAGGGAATGCTTGTATTATGTCAAAAAATTTCAATAATTATACTATTCTTTATTATTTAAAAAATTTATTCAGAGCTAATTATTATTCATCATTTACTATTGAATATATTAAATATAAGCTCCATAGTTGTGATTCATCAGTCAAAAAATAAGTGTGGAACACATCAAACATAACGATTGAAATAAAATGATATTCTCATGTGTATATAAATAAAAAAAACACATTTATTTTACCAAATCTGAACATTGTAACTTTTTCAACTAAAGTGTGACTTACTATAACTATAATAAGGATTAGCATACAATGGATAATCTTGTAAATTGTAGTATTAACAAGAAAACTTTGATCTTTTATGGAAAAATAATCTTCTAAGTACTAATAGGATGCACGTGAGTGTAATATAATTTTGAAAATTCTCTGCGCGCGTTGATTTCTTTTCTTCTGGACCACATCGATCGAGTCTTGCGCTGAAGGGTGATGCTGGCCATTCTATTTGCAACCCCCAAACGCCGCTTCCAGTCAATGTCGCGTTTAAAATTTTTGGAATAATCGACTAAACATATCGTGGTAGTCAGTAGTAAACCATGTGGTCTCACAGTCAATGTAATAACTAAACGGATTAATTATTTATTTTATCAAAATCATCAGTACAAGTGCCTCTAAAATAGTTATATTAGTCTAGAAGACGTATTAGCAGGGCAGCAAAAGTCACAAAGTCTCTCAGTATAAAGTGACTTATTTTCTCTCGTCAAAACTTCATCAATAATTCTTACTAATTTTATCAAACACGTGAGTATCTTCTATATTAACATAAAATTTTATTTCACCAGTGCCTCTTTGTTGTTTAAATTCTGCAATTAGTTTATCCTAATTAGCAGCAAAAAATCGATCAAATTTATCTATATAATCATATTTCTTTCAACGTTATCATAAGAATTTAGGATGCTGCACTATAAATCAATAGACCAGCAAAAAGTTTGCCTTCAATTATTGACTTTTATTATTTTATTTTTGATTTTTAATGTTAATTGCTATTCGATTTATTTGATAAAATCTATTTCATTCTTAAAGATATCAAAAAAATGGCGAATTTCCGTGGATTTAATATTCCAACATTCGGAGCAACAGTAAACGTGATGTGGGAAACATTAAAAGCTAAATGGCCAGAAAATAGCCCTTGTATGGAATTAATTCGGGGTCCTGAGCCAGGCTATCGTCCACGACAAACAGAAGAGGGGTTCAAACCTTACGGAGAGGGTGGAGAACACACTGAAATGACAGAGATGAATGGGGAGCAGGCGTTTGGGGGTCAAGATAGTATGGGAATGGCAGAGGATTCTTTTAGTTACCAGAGAAATGGGTACGTTCATAATTAAAATGTAGCATGTGTGTTCTTTATTAAGATAAGGTATTGGATATTAAATGAATATCTATAGGAATCTTTATTATATATTATAGACTTCAGTAAATTTGATAAATGATTTCACGATATAAAATCGTTTATGATGTATTTATAATAAAAATTTATAGCATTTTCTATTATTGAACAGCACATTTTTTATATTATTAGTATCATTAAATTTATTGATTGATTTATCAATCGCTTTCAGTGATAAAGTCAGAGGTGGAAGTGTGAGTAGTGGAGAATTTAGTGAATATGACGACGGCGGAGAGTTTGCTTCAGGAGTAAAAATCAACGAATGGCAAGCAGCATGGAACGTCACCAATGCCATTCAGGTATGTTCAATGTTTTAAGTATCCATAAAAATGTAAAAATAATAATTAAGATCTGAAATTAAAAAAAAAAAATCAAAGTTTAAAAAGCTATTAATGAATCACCAATGAAAATTATGTTTGTTTATTTCTCTAGGGTATGTTTATCGTCTCTCTTCCCTTTGCGGTTCTTCGTGGTGGTTACTGGGCCATAGCGGCGATGGTAGGAGTAGCCCATATTTGTTGTTACACAGGAAAGATTCTAGTCGAGTGCCTTTATGAGTTGGACACCGTGACTGGACAAAGAGTTCGTGTTCGAGACTCGTATGTGGCTATAGCAAAAGAGTGTTTTGGACCAAGATGGGGAGCACGTGCTGTTAACATCGCTCAAATAATAGAACTGCTCATGACATGCATTCTCTACGTCGTCGTTTGTGGAGATTTAATGATTGGAAGCTATCCAGAAGGTGCTATAGATGCTAGAAGCTGGATGATGCTCATAGGAATTTTTCTTATTCCACTCGGTTTTCTCAAATCACTTCATGGGGTCTCAGTTCTCAGTTTTTGGTGTACAATGTCTCACATCTTCATTAATGTCATCATTCTAGGCTATTGCCTGTTAGAAATAGGTGATTGGGGTTGGTCTAAAGTCAAATGGACTATTGATATGGAAACCTTTCCAATCTCTCTAGGAGTAATTGTTTTTAGTTACACATCTCATATATTTTTACCAACTCTAGAAGGAAATCTCATGGACAGATCTAAATTTGATTGGATGTTAAACTGGAGTCACATTGCAGCTGCAATTTTTAAATCAGTTTTTGGTTGGATCTGTTTCTTAACTTTTCAAAATGACACTCAGCAAGTTATAACAAATAATCTCCATTCACAAGGTTTTAAAGGGCTAGTGAACTTTTTTTTAGTTATTAAAGCTATTCTGTCTTATCCTCTACCTTATTATGCTGCTTGTGAACTTCTAGAAAGAGCCTTTCTACGAGGCAGGCCTAAAACTATCTTCCCAACAATTTGGACTGTTGATCATGAGCTAAAAGTTTGGGGTCTTGCCTGGAGAGTTGGTGTAATTGTTTTTACTATTCTCATGGCTATTTTTATTCCTCATTTCAGTATACTTATGGGATTCATTGGATCATTTACTGGGACTATGCTTTCTTTCATTTGGCCTTGTTATTTTCATTTAAAACTAAAGAGGAGCTCGATGGAGATGAAAGACGTTGCTTACGATTGTTTTGTTATATTTTTAGGAGTTCTCTTTGGTGTTATTGGAGTTTATGATTCAGGGAAAGCACTTATAAAAGCTTTTGAAATTGGTCTTCCATTTTAAATACTAAAATAATTGAGAGAATATTCAGATATCTCGTTTTAAATTGAATAAAGAGAATAAAAAACTTTGATTATCGAAGGATGAATAAAAGATAAAAAAAATTCTAATGAATTTATTTATCATAATTGATATCCTTAGAAAGAAATTTTATTCTCTTTATTCTGAACTCTTGTTTTTGTATTCGCTTTATCACGAATTGTTTCTAGAATTAAAATTAAACTTCTGTTTATTTTAATTATTGAACTTTTATATTTGATACTTGAATTCGTGTAATTGTTTTTTTAAATCAAGTGTCTTCCATTACTCTAGTATCAAATGAATATTTATTATTAACTGATTAAAATAATAAGCATCAACAAAACTTGAGAATATTTTAAGATTCAATGGTTCAATGATATTTTTAAAGAATCACATTATATTGAGTTGTGTTTTGTCCTGTAGAGACAAAATAATGGTGATTGTAAAAATTCTTCGAAGATGATCAATAAAAAATTAATGACACATACAGAAGATAATATGTACAAGAATATAACAATACGTTGTTAATTAGGTTTTTGGATTTTATAACTGTATCATGAAAAGACAGTTGCGATTATTTATAAATAATATAAATATATAAATAAGAAATATAAAGAAACTATCAGTAGATAAATGTTAGAACATGAAGATTCATGATATTAAATAAAATTTCATCAACATGTGAGAGGCAATAATATAATTAAAATAATATAAATCATATAGCATTTTGCAAAATGCTAATGGAATAAAAAAATATCCCATGTCTTCCAAGATCTCATGAGAGATTAATAAATCAATCATTAATTAAGTTTAAGAGTTTAATTGTAGGTCAATAATTACTATTAAATATAGTGTTTTTTTTATTTGAATGATGGGACTATTTTCAGGAAAAATAATCCAAGATTGCCCAAAAATATAATAAGAAGAATTTTAGCAACTGAAAATAAAAGATAAAAATATTAATTTTAATATTCATAACTGAACATGTTTTTACTTCGTTTATGTAAAAGAAATACCTTTAATTGTTTATGAAAATTTACATTTAGTATATTAGATAATTAATTCATACAATAAAATATTTGTTCATTTCTTCAAATATTTGAAATTTGTGTCTTCCAAGAATGTCTTCCATTAAATAAAAAAAAGTTAAATTAACTCTTGCCAATAAAAAGATCATTGCGCGTTACCAAATTATATCAATTGTTAAGTCAGATGAATAAAATTAATTGAGAGAATTATATACGTTAAGATATAACACAGAATAATTGTGAATAATTATTTATGGAAAAAGTTTATTATTGTCAATAGTAATTAGATATATTTAAATAATTTTGTTACCTATTCAAATAGTCACTATAGCTTTTTATTTAAATAATCAATGTCTTCCATACTAATTTGATCCAAAGTTTACTTGTGCTGAACAAAACCATGTATAAAAAATAACAATTATTTAGCCAAGCTTATTATAAATTTGTATTGAAATAATTAAAATTGAAAATGATTTGTAATTAGTGAACGAAAATTTTTCAAAAGTAGGAGAATATATTACATGATTTCTATTACAATCTTTTGATTAATTTTAGGCCGTAAAAGAGACGGCTAAGATTTTTCAACAAAAGTAATAAAGTTTTATGACTTATTGTACAATTTATAGTAGAATCAATAAGAGAGCAGTTAGACATAACAAATCAAGTACTCTTTTATTGGTTGTACTATATCCATGAATAATTATTGGAGAAAAAGATAATTATATACCTGTAATATATTAATATTTAAAGAAAGAATAAAATTATATAAAATAAGTTGATGCCATAAAGTATAAAATAAATTGTAATTGAGATGAAAAAACTCCTAAATGTAAGGCACAACGAATCAGTTCCACATGGTCTGGCGCCTTCTATAATTTCATCTCTTTAATGTTAAAATCAAGTGTACACAATAGATTGTAATGATGTAACGGGCTTCCATATAAAAAAAAGAAGATAAAAATATATACTATGGAAATTTGTCATGATTGAGATTTAATTTATTTTTATTACCTTTATATACTCACACTGATATTCTTTCAAATATGCTTGAATTATCTTAAAACCTCACTTATAGAGTATTTTAAGTGAAAGTTATTTCTATTTCAATAGTCTTGATGAAGATCCAATAGAAATTATCTAGACATGCTCTGAAAATCATTTATATAAATCAGTCATTCATCCAGCGCAGTTTTAATCCATCTTTTGTCTTCAACATGAGATTTTCAGTAAGTAAATAGTACTGATCAAGTGAATCTTATCACTCAGAATCAGTGTTTTTAAATGTTGCTTTTAATTATAAAAATTCCTGTTTGTTTCAGTTTTTATTTATTAGTGTCATAGTCATTATTTCTGCTGTGATTCTTGAAGCAAGATTTATAAGGAAAAAATTTCATAGACCTAGAAAACACCGTATTATCCAACGCAAGCTAGATGGCAGCGAAGAAGGTAAAAAAAAATTGTCTAGATTAATCAAACTTATATAAAAAAATTTTAATGATCATCTGCAGAAGTGCCACGAGTTAAAATCAAAGTATTTCGAGGTCCAGATGAAGAAAACAATGGTACTTCTTTTGCTTCCTGGGGCTACTGGTTCTCACAACCAAACGATCAATAAAACCAACGACCAAGAGTGAACTATCAACACCAATACAACATATGATGAATCGGTTTTCAAGATTTAATGATGTTATTGATTATTTAACTTATTAATTTATTGACTAGATTTTTTAGGCTGAGGAAATGATAAGGGAATAGTAGAAAATTGTTACTATCAATTGAATACAAATGTAGTTAGATTATTCAAAAATATGTATGTATTGTTAGAAAATTATTGTTACAAACAGTGTTCTAGAGAATACATATTTTGTAATATTTTGTTGAATTTGTAACTTTAATTATGAAATGATTACTTCTTTCCCTGGAAACGATCATTATTGGAGTTTAGCTGATTTCCATGATTATCTAAATCAGCTTTATCTCCTTTTCCGTGGTAACCCGCTTGATGCCCCGGTCCAGTAAGTTGATGATTTGGGTTGCATTGGTTTGCACGGTTATCTTGCTCTTTTGGCATCTGAAACAATAAAATAATCCAAATATTCAACATATAAAATTCAGAAAAGAGCAATGCACAAGAAAAAAACTGTAAGCTAATTTAATCTTTTAAATAAATTTTAATAAAAAGCAAACGAAATCAATGAATAAAAAATTTTTCTAGTACTCAAAAATCATTAAACATTTTTCAACACTTGCTATTTTTATTGCTCATGAAGTTGAATTAATTTATTACACATTTGAACATTCTGAATTAATTTTAATATTAATATTTTTAAAACAATTACTGTTCTTAATGATAAATAATTTGATATAATACCTTTAATTTTTTGTTGTAATTTATGTATTAAGAACTTTTAAAGCAAAATTAGCACAAGCAGTTTTTACTGTCTTGAAGTAATGATGTTGAATGGTCACCGTTGAATTTATGCGAGCTTATATAGTCCTCATGCAGAATTTGAAACCACTTTAGATGTACTTCCCCGCCATAAAATGGACATCACAGTGGGGATGGAATTTTTAAACCAGATAAAGAAATTCTCTAAAGTATAATTTACTATGTAGAATCTATTTATATAAAATATTTATTTAAAAGTAAAAATTTTTTTGTTTATGTGTATTTTTGGAGTAAATTATGATACATATTATAAACAAATTCTTATGCTAGCCCCATTATTTCATTTACTACTGCTTCGAAGGCTCTGAAATGCAATTAAATAATTTTAATAAAATAAGAATATATCAATTTTTTAATAAGTTAATTAAAAGCAATTACTTGGATTTTATTTCATCTCCTGGAATGTAAAAAGGATTGCACACTGCATTAGCATAAGCTAAGTGTAGCTTTCTGAAAATCTAATTAATAAAACTTACTTGTAGCTTTGGAAATATTATTGCTTAAGTACAAAATAAGAAATATTGCATATATACATATTACGAACATACCATTCTCACATCATTATCTCTCAGAGAAGCATTTGACGATTGTAAAACTACAACAAATTTCATTTTGGTGTTAGTTGCATAGCCGAATCTACAAAACAAAATAAAAAGTTACTTTCAAAAATTTTAGTACTTATTACAAAAAATTCATTATTAATTTTTTACATCTTATGTTCATCTGTTGCATATAATAATCCCAAAAATAATTCACGGCTATCAGTAACAGCTTTGTTGCCTACATTTAATTTCTCTTCTATTATATCAATTGATGTATGTACTTTAAAATGGAATTCGATTGCACATGATTCTGAGGCACATTTGATAAATTTCGGTGAATTCTGTGGAAAAAATGATGCTGATTAGTTCTAAAAAACTCTTTGAGATAATATTATCAACATTACTCATTTCTAAGTACGAGGTTATTTTATGAATACTTACATCCTTTCCAATGACTGCTACACAAACAGCCATTGTCTGTTAAATAATTGTTAATTTTTTTTCATGTATTGTTTTTACAAACTGTTATTTATTAAAGAAAAAAATATTCTTAAATATTTTCACCAGTTATTGACACTGCATGTAATATTCTGATCAGCTGACAATGACAGATGGATTATACAAATGAGGTTAAGAAAATGCCAATTGTTGAAATCTATATTTTTTTACTATAAAATAAATTTAGTGAATTAACTCTTAGAAATTAATTATTTAAGTTATATAGAAAGTAATAAGACCAAATATAATTTTCTCAGTTTATAAGTATTTATTGCAAATATAGAATTAAAAAAATATTTTAGTTGAACAACAAAAATATACGCTATTTATGAAAACAATCACTTCGGGATACTAGATTCATCATAATATCTTCTTTTCAAAGTCCTGTATTTTTTCAACATATATAATGCTTCAATTTCTTTTATAACAAACTTTCCTCTTTCAATCATTTTCTCTATCTTTTCTGGATCAGTTTCATGTTTATTTTTTAAAAATGCCTTTTTGCAATTTTCTCGAAAAAAATTATATCCTTGAGGATAATCCCGGCCCATGTAAAGAAGCTAGAAAAATAAAAATAATCGAACGATACATACAGATTTGAGTTTTATGAATAGATAAGATAGATAAATGATTCATAATTGGTAGAATAATATTATATAATACTTATTGTTAATGGTTACCGTTTTATACAGCTCCAAAACTTTTGATCGCAGAGACATTGTTGGTAACCATATAAATCTTTTAACTTTGTTTACTCTTCGTAGTTCTAAACTTTATTGAGAAATTTTCACTTATTTCTTTTGTCGTCTTTATTATTGCAACAAGTATTTTAGTATTTTTATATTTAAATACTTGCCCAGCCTGGATAGTATTTAAAAGATGAAAATTATTGAAGTGTTATATGATACAAAAATTAATGCAATAACTAGTTAAAAATGTATATATAAAATTAGGCATTCTATTTATTTTCTATAAACTTGTCATAATTTTAAGATGCATACAATTTAAATAAAATTACAAATGTCAAATATTGATACAATTAATAAAAACTTTCAGGAAAAATGTGTTTATACTTTGTCTTATTTTCTAACGAAATTTCTAATAAATCCTTTGCTTATAACATTCATTTGTTGTAGTAAAGTTAATTGTTCAACAATTAGCAAGAAATGACATGGAAACTGGCAGTTACTTTTTAAACAAGTGATTTAATTTATATAAAACTTAATATTAATCTAACGGTATCATAATTATAGTATAATTATATTTATAGTGTATAATAAATGGATCATGCCATGTAATAAAGTAATATATATTATTGATAAACTTTTAATTTACATTTTATGTCAAGACGTGAATGATTGCACCAAATAAAAATGCGTTTATAAAATCAAGGTAATAAAGAAAAAACAGTTCATTTAATTCTTGAAGTTGCACTGATTTTACGCAACAGCTCGAGCTTCAGGTAAAAAGCTTTCCCAATGCTTGATCAACTGATTTTGATGTTGTAGCATAGCTTCCAAATATTCTATTAATTGTTTCTTAAAATCTTCTACTCTAAGAACTTCAAATCGTTCCACTTCTTTTTTAATCATTTTTGAAATGTTATCAAATTCTTCTTGACCTCTTTCAACTTTTGCTTCCCAATCAATTACTTCTGATGCAGCTTGAGTTGTTTTGTCGCTTCTTCCTGCTTGTTCTAATCTTGCTTTTTGCTCTCGTTTTTTATTAAGCATCATCTGAGCGTGTTGCCAATTTTGGAACACTTTTACTCGTTCATGAAATACATCCTAAAATTTAAAATTAATTTTTTAATACAATGGAATTTCAATTCATCTGATTTTTTTGGACCTTAATAAATATTTACCTTTATAGCACCAATTAGAGCTACATAATCCCTTAACATTTCACCAAATTGATATAAATCACTGTTAGCTTGAGCACGACGTACTACTTCTACTTTTTCTAATGTCTCTGCTAATTGAGCTAAGGCTCTTCCAAGAGATACACCATCTTCCCCGTGTCCAAGAACGGCAATTGATTTAGCAGTAGCTCCAGTACAAGCGGCTAATTCTTGTCTTTGGTTCGTCAAAGTTTCTACTGCTGAATGTAACGACCGTAATTGCGTATCCAGAGAATCAATTTGTGATGTTTTTTCTTCAAACCACTAAAAATAGTAGATTAAAGATAAAACTATTTATGTTAATATCAAATCTATTATTATAAAGCTAAAATATTTATGCCAAAGCCAATTACGCATCAACAAATGATTGATGAATTTGATAAAAGCTTGCTTGCGAGTGAATAAAAATTGCATAATACTGAAGCATTTGTATGAAGCTGTATTACGACACTGATGATATTTCATGATAAACGTACCTTACCCTCCTAATGTAAGCAACAGAAAATGATTTCACTGTCTCATATATTCACTGCATGCAGCAAGGCTTCAAACATGTTTGAGAATTTTTATTTAATCTATTTTAGATAACTCACCGTGTCACTTTCATCCATTTTGTATGTTATCTTATTCATTGTTTCGCCTACTTTGTTGAACAGACGCATGACTCCTGCACCACTCAAAGCTGATGTATTAGTAGCTTTTGGTAACTCCATGTCTTGAAAATATTTTTAATTTTCAATAAAGAAATTCTTTCAGTGAAGCATTACTTTAATATAATAATAAAATATTTACCGGCTTCCAAAAACTCCCTGAAGTCAGGATCAACACTTAACACTGGATGAGCAGCAGTTCTGTTTAAATATCGCTCTAAAGCTGCTCTACGTCTTTCAATAAAATCTGTAGAACTTAAATTTTGTTCTTGGCTTTTATCCCCGGACATTTTTATTTTTGTTGTACCTGAATGATAAAATTTTTATAATTAATTTATGCAAAAATATTCAAACGTTTGCGTAACGTTTAAAATACGTAGTAATAATTTACAAAAAATCAATACGAGATGAAAAAAGTATAGTTTCTGGATAAAGAAAAAATTACCAATAACACTTTTTTCTGGAGCTGGTGGAATAATCCTGCCGCTTCTTAGATATTTTTCAACAAGTTTATCATGAAGACCCAAAAAATCACTAAAACGTCTTATGACACTGAAACTTCTTTTTCTAAAAATTGGCATGTTAGTTTTGGTTTCCACTTTGTATACAACATAAGCTCCCATTCCTTCTCTTATTTTTTGGGGAGATGTAACTAAAATTTTTAAAAATGCCTCCGATGATTCTGTCGATACCTAGATTTAAATGAAAAATAACAAATTTAGAGAACTAAAAGCATCAACACAATAGATAAACTTGATTTATTAAAGCAATGATTTATGATATCTGTTTCTTACTTCCTCTAATGATTGAGATGGTTTCAGTGCTTGCGGTGAAGCATCGTTGTTTATTGGCACTTCGTGAAGGTCTCCAATGTCGCTTGGAAGACCTAAAGGCGAACTTAGTGGTCCAGGAGCTGGGCTGGATACTGTTGAGTATGAATTATCTTCTGGAGCATCTCGGAGTAATAATTTTGGAAGTTCAGCTGTAACTGTTGATACTCCATTGTAAGAGCTATTGGTCATCAATGGACTTGAATCCTATTCATGTAAAAAATCAATTTATATATTAATCTGTAAATTGCTCATTAAGATTTAAGAAAAGATTTTTATATTATATTATTGACTATGTAATTAAAAATATTATACCTGAATTGCTGAAGCAAAAATATCTTCATCATCGTCATCCATTTCTTCTTTACTAATTTCTACATCATCAAACAGAGGTGGAGGTTCTTTATTATCAGCCATTTTTGTTAACTAAAATATCAACTATTAAACCGACAGTGACCACAGGGGATCAACCCACTTGTAATTATTATCGTAATGAATATCTAATACTTTGAAAGTTAAATATTAAGACTGTAAATGTAATATAAAAAATGCTCATTTGACACGAGAGCGACAATCGACTGTAGATGACGTTGGCAAGGAATGAAAAGTCAGAGAGGCAACAAAACCATACTTTTGACACATGGGTAAAAACGCCCCCAAACAAAAATAAAATTTTAGAACTACACCCCCAACTTATTATCGATGATTTTTTTTCTTTTTTCTAGATTAAAAAAATAATAAGAAAAAATTTTTTTTATTTAAATAAGATTTCGTTTGTACATTATTGATAAATAAAAGACAATTTCAATTTTAAATAGATAAATAATATTTAAACAATCATTCAAATTTCCCGGTATTATTCTCAGAAGGTAATACATCGACAACTCGTTGAAAGCAGAAAATGATTTTGTCTAACATACAGTAGATGTCATTACAATCTGATTCTCCCAATCAAAATTATCATGTATTCGGTAAATACATAATATATATGTATTATTTATTATCAAATGTTTTTATTTATGTTTATTATAAAAATAACCATCCTACGAACAAATCTTCATATCAAATCGATAGAATAATATGAAAATATATAATCCATTGTCTAATTGTATACATAATAATTCTAACTGAATAAGCATTTTTCCAGTGAATTAGACTGTTATTATTTTCCTTTTCATTGTTTTATCAATTAGCGTGTTGATGTACATAACATTTATATCAATTTTTCAGTTACCAATGCCATCATCTGAATAAACGGTATGATCAATATCATGTAACAATTACATGATTGACAATGAAATAATTAATACAACTGGTTTTTTCGCCACGTCAATGATTACGCCACAGTCTCCATAGTAGCAGTAAGTTCTTGATAAAAAACCACAAAGAACAGTAATAAGTATCTATATATATACATATATATAATTATAATATGTTCTTTCAGACATTATATATATTATACTGCACGCCTGATTTTTTTTTCATTAAGTTTTTATTATGTAAATAGTACGGTCTGCTTAGAAGTCATAGGTATTATCCCTGTTGAATTAAATTGTTTTAACAAATGATAATATCAGTTTTATTGATTGAAAATATTTTTAATGAGTTTCCACAGATGTAGAACAATATACCCATTAATATTTATCATAGCAGTGTAATGAGATTTTTTATTAAACTATGACAAGTCCAGCAACTATTCGTCGTCGCCTTAGTCCCTCAATATTGGCTCGATACGATTCTAGCTCTCAGCATCCAATAAATCCACCACTTCCAAAGGTAGATTTTTTATTTCATTTTTTATAATTTTCATTGATAATAATTCAATATGCATTCACATATGAATCATTTCCGGCATCTAACCCGTACTAATTTGATAAGCGTTTGGGTACTAATTCTAACTAATTTTATGAAAATTGTAACAGAAAGCTAAGTGACAAAGTGCTAAAAAAATTCATATATCGTGTACTGGTTTGAAATATCATTTGTGTAAAGGATTCAGCTAAAAGGAAATTAAAATTGTTAATTAATCGCTATAAATAGAATTGTGGAAATACAATGATAGACATAAAGAATAATCAAGTGAAAGAATGCAATTTTATTTATATCTATTTATCTAATGATAGTATAAAAATATTATTTATAACAAGAACTATTAGATTTGGAGTAATCAAGTTTGAAGCAACTCGAAAAATTTTGAACAAAATTACTTTATGTTACACGAATTGTAAATTTTTGAATAATTTCTTACTACATTAAAATATTTAATACATGGTTGTATGTAAGAAGTTTTCTATTTCATCAGAGTTGAATAATATCATATTTACAGCAGAAATAAGTAATTGAAGCATTGAAATTAATACTTTATGAGCATTATGTACAAATAAGACATAAGGATATATACACATAAATAATAACTGTGGTTTACATATACATACGAAATTGTACGTGAGCGTGAGGTGGCGGCTCCAGTGATAAAAGGTTGAAGCTTCTACGGTCATCGGTCGCACTCGTGCGGATAGGAGTCAAAGAAGGTAAAAAGGGATAGAAGCCAAAAATGGCAAAAGCATTGAAACCCTCATGAGCTTATGAGCCTCATGAGTAAGACTGTCCGCCATTTTCTATCAGAGGATTAGAAAAATAAACTTATTTCTCCTCTTTTTACTTAACTACGTTTTAAAGCGATTTAGATAAAAAATGACTCAACTAATCAGATGGAATTGTCTCGGGGCCAGTTTCTCATTTGTGGGTCTCTAGCAAAAATATAACTCAAAGTGTACTTTGTATATATAGTGTTTTGTAAAAGCTGTGTGTGTTTAAGCGTACATTCTTAGTGTGTGCTGACGAGTTTCTCCCCCACTTTAGAGTACATCTGCGGCAGGCGTGGTCATTTATTCATGATTCTTACAACTGCTTACGGCTTTGAAACACGCTGTAAACTTAGAGCGTCTTCTAATCGGTGAGGACAGTGAATGTGTGATGCAAAACGTAGACTGTATTGTAAATTAATTGTCATACAAGTGAACCGAAAATTTGGCGAGTTGACGTGTCGGCGTGAATCATCGGCAAGTACAACATAATCAGTGTTTCGAGTTTGGACATCAATCTACATCTACTTTAAATGAGACAATTTCTAATATGTATATGAATGACTTTCTTGGAACTCTAAACAAAGTAAATAGTCATCTATTAATTTTTCACAATATTCCTATGTAATTGGTATATTTATCTATGAATAGTTTTATTATCAGGTTATAATTATTTTCATTGAATTTCCAAGATTCAATAAACTGGTAGATAAGATTTTAAAGCTTGCCGGTTTACCATGGGGATGTACTGATAGCATAATCAATTCAGTGCAAGAAAAGATATTAAAAATGATTATTGACTCTTTTATTGTAATTTATAACAATTATTAACAGTTTTGCTCTTGTTTCAAGATTATTTTATTGAAGCTATACAAGATTTATATTACTTTGTTTTAAGTTCATTCTTGAAAATTGATAATGAAGGAAAACAGATGATATACTGAGTTGTTGTACAATAATTATTATTTTATGTTAAATAGTTATTTTTTAATGAAAAATATTTGTGTCGCAGCTAAACAATATAATTGTGTACGTCTGAAGAAACAGAAGAATATAGCAACATTTATCAAACAAATAAGGATATAATGTCTACGGAAAATCATAACGGCAGTACACCCCACGCAAATGGAAGTATAAAGTCTGCCATCGGTGGCAGCTTGACTTCTAGCGTTCCTATCACAGCGTCCATCACCACTGCAAGAACAACGTCAAATAATACATCCTTCCTCTACAGCAGCAATTCCACATTAAATCGAGAAAAATCAAGACAAGCACCACCACCGACTTTGCCAAAGTACACATCTAGTTTCAATGCTGGGACAAACGGCAACACTGACAGACTTGTTAGGGATCGAGAAACTGGAAGCAGTTATAGACTTGCAAGCTTAGATAGACTTGCATTGAGACAAAGGATACTTGACAGTGAAAAAGCCAACGGTGAAATAGCTAACTCGGTAAGGAGATACAGTAAAACATGAAAGAATTTAATTGACGCACGACAATCAATGAATTAATGAGACCAAGTGGTCAGTTACTTACTTGAAATGATTCGAAATTTTTTTCAATAAATATCATTGAGCACCACTGTCAAAGAACACATGGCTGTCGTTTGGCTATACTCTATGCGATACTATTTTACCAAATACTGACTTGTATATTTATTTCTCATACATTAGTCAAAAGCTATATTAGGCACTGGCTTTTAAAAAGAGGTTTATAGCTTAACTTTAACACACTTAGAATACTAAGTGACTTTGAAAATTTATACGGAATGTACTAGCTGTGGTTTGTGAAACATAGCGTGTCTCTCGTTTCGTTGTTGGAGCTTCTTAAATTGCATTCAAGGACCTTGAAAAAGCTTACACTTTAAAAGTATATAAGCACTATAAGTCACTTTTTTTGTTACTAATTTTAACACTTTATTATAATTTATTCCTATTTTTTATTGTGCTAATGTTTCAAATGCATGAATTATTTTATTTTATTCTAGTAAGGCATCATTAGATATTGTTTCTACATGTTTTTAAGTGGTTGATATTTTTCCTTGCATAATGACCAGATACATCCGTCTATTAGTTTGATAAAAATACAACCTTATTCCATCATATGACATCATTGAATAAACTACAATATACTCTTTATATTTCTAGATGCAAACAAAGCGTGAGTTATTCTTTAAAGGGGATAGTGGATTAACAACATCACCTTCAGTACCGTCTGTACCACCTCCACAACCACCAGCAAATGTTATGTCTACGACAGGAGCCTCTATAACAACATCAACTACTACTACATCTGCAATAACAACAACAACAATGACGACGGCGATTACGACTTCAGTATCTTCGTCAGTAGTGCCTCCGATAGCATCTGTAAAACCCCGTTTACCCCAAAACAGCGTTAATTCTAATCAAAGTGATCATTTAGAAGACAGTAATAAAAGAGAGTCCATCCGTAATGACAGTAATAAAGAATCTGCCTTGCAAATTCATTTACGTCCGGCTGTTCAACCAACTAAGCCTAAGGAGCTTGATGGATATGTAGGATTTGCTAATTTACCAAATCAAGTTTATAGGAAAGCTGTTAAAAAAGGGTTTGAATTCACTTTAATGGTTGTTGGTATGTATTCATGTATATTGGAAATATTCTTTTATTAAAAAATCCATTGCTTTCAATTAAATGTTTGGAATTCTTTTTTTTTTGCAGGTGAATCGGGCTTGGGGAAATCAACATTAATAAATTCCATGTTCCTTGCTGATATTTATAGCGCAGAATATCCAGGACCTAGTCTTCGAGTAAAAAAAACTGTTGCTGTGGAAACGAGTAAGGTACTTTTAAAAGAGAATGGAGTGAATTTAACCCTTACTGTCGTTGATACACCAGGTTTTGGAGATGCTGTTGATAATAGTAATTGGTAATATATTATTTTAAATTGATATATAAAAAATATTTCAACGATTATTTTTCGATGACTCATTGATTTTATTTTTTACCCACAGTTGGGTTCCAGTCATTGAGTTTATAGAATCCAAGTATGAGGAATTTTTAAATGCTGAGTCTCGCATAGTCAGAAAACAAATACCAGATAGCAGAGTACACTGTTGTCTTTATTTTATTTCACCGTCGGGTCATGGGCTGAAACCACTGGACGTTGAATTTATGCAACGTCTTCATGACAAAGTTAATATTATTCCTATCATAGCGAAAGCTGACACTATGACGCCAGAAGAATGCACACACTTCAAGAAACAGGTGAAGATTAGATCATTTTTTTTTTCACTTTATTCTGTTGATTAGTTTCATTGAAATGATTTTAGAGTAAATATTATTGTTTATGATTTCTTTTTTTAGGTGTTAAATGAAATAGCACAACATAAGATAAAAATTTACGAGTTTCCTGAACTCGAAGAAGAAGAGGAAAACAAACTGCACAAAATTTTAAGAGATAGAGTACCATTTGCCGTTGTTGGTGCAAATACTGTTATTGAACATGACGGCAAAAAAATACGTGGTAGAAAGTATCCATGGGGAGTTGCTGAAGGTTAATATTTCAAAGTTATATAAGTTATATTTTAATACTTTCATTTATTTTAATTATCATCATTATTTAGTGGAAAACTTGGAGCACTGTGACTTCATCGCATTGCGAAATATGGTGATAAGAACGCATTTACAGGACCTCAAAGACGTAACAAATAATGTTCATTATGAAAATTTCCGATGTCGTACGTTAGCTGGACTTGGTGTTGATGGAAAACCTACAAGAGTTACAAATAAGTAAGTAAATTCAAAAATTTGCATAAATATTAATTAAAAACTTCATCGTCGATTTAAAGTTATTTTTTTATTCGTCATCACAAAATCAACACAGTCAGTTCGCTTACATAAAACGAGGTATTGTTAATATTCGGTGACATTAAATTAGGCATTAATATTCAACAGAGAAGAATATTGATCTGTTCTGCTCATTAAAAAATTCTAAAAACAACTGAAAATATTTTCTATTTTTATATGCTCTGCTTTCATATAAAAAATCAATGACAAGCTTGTGCATGCAAACTATTGGATAGATTGGAAAACCAAAAAAATAACTTTTTGAAGACGACATCTTATCAATTAATGAATTACCTTTAAAAAGAAAGGAGGGTAAGAAAGATGGTGCGAATTGATGACAAATATTTTTGGCCAAAAAGTCATGAACATTATTTTAATAGTCCTTTCTTATTGGTTAGTTTGTGCCCTCCCGGAGTGATGAACAGTTTCATGACAGTGTGGTAAGTTTTTTGCCAAAGCTGTGATTGTTTATTACGGTTTTGTGTGCACAAGACTTATCGATTTACCACCCACTTATTAATATTTTGTCTTAGTTAGCAAGTGTAGTCCTAAAAAGCTCATTTTATTAACTATACCTTTTAGCTTTGTTTAGTGTTTGTTACCATTGTCAACTTATATGTTGTTGAATTTTTTGTAATAAGTTTGATAGTGTAATGGTTTTATTTTGGAATAAACTAATAAAGAAAAGCAAAAAATATTTTTTTAACAGGAATCCATTGGCACAATTGGAAGAAGAAAAACGAGAGCATGATACGAAAATGAAAAAAATGGAAATGGAAATGGAACAAGTATTTGAAATGAAAGTCCGTGAAAAGAAACAAAAATTGAAAGATTCTGAAACGGATGTAAGTAGAATAATATTCTACTATTTTTATCAATAACAAAGAATGTACTATATTTAAAATAAAAGTTATTCATTTATAAAAATAATAATTAAACTTGTTACATTAAACAGTTGCAAAGAAGACATGAACAAATGCGACGTTCTCTAGAGCAACAGCTGCGTGAAGTAGAGGAAAAAAGACGAGCTTTCGAAGCAGATAAACAAGCATGGGAGCAGCAAACTGGTCAAAGTATTGAAGAATTACGTAGACGTAGTTTGGACGCTAATTCAAAAGAGTAAGTCAATTAATATAAACATTTATTTTCGAGCTTAACTACATTTTTTATTGTAGAAGTCTTTTCTTCTTCAATTTTCCTAAAAAATTATGTAGATGTACTAGATTCTTTCTAAAAACGAATATTTGTACATTATTTCTTATGATGAAGTATAATTGTTTTTAAACAAATTTGGATAAAAGTGCTACAATACTCTAGTTATTTAAAAAGATATTTAAAATTGAGTACATTTACATAAGTTATTTTTTACTCCAAATATTTTTTGGTTACATATTTATATGTAGTTATAATTTCATTACAAGTATAATTCTTTTTTACTCTTATAATGAGATTCCTAAACTAGATTTTTTTTTTCAAAACAAAAATAAATCTAAAAGAATGCATTTTCATAACATCACTGAATTTCAAATTACTTTCATTACTGCTTGTATCGTAATAATTTGTATAGCTGCATGTGATGAGTTCTTTTGGAATGAATATTTTTTCATATTCATAATTTTTGAAGCTTGTGCTACTTAGCGCTTTTGCTTAAATATGTTTGAATGTATGTTTGCTGTGTATACGAAACCGCGGTGTCCATTATTTAGGACGGGCTCCGTATCGTCTGAGGGATCTGGCGGTGGAGGGGGTACATTAAGAGGGTCTCGAGGATTCGGAAGTCTTCTTCGTCGTCACACCAGTTTCAAATCACCTCAAGACAGCCCCACACAGATACAGCTTGTAATACAACATCCCGAGCATCCTTAAAATCAATCATTGGATCAAATCAATCTCTTTTTATGATAAAGGATTTTATTCAAGATTTTTATTCGTCTTATTATTGGAATTTAAATATTTATTAACATATAGTTACATACATTACATTCTGCTTTTATTTATGACCTCTAAAAACATTTAATAAATGTTATTAAATAATAATAGTAATAAAATGTGAAAGCGTTAGCTATATTGCTATTTCCACAAAGCTTGACATAATATTTTTATTAAAAAATTTCTTTTTAGAGGTTGTAAATTATTATATATATGTTATTTCACTATATTAACAGAAAATTATCCAAAGCGTACATGCTCTAATTAATAAAGCTTTTTAGAGAAAAAGTTCATCTCTTCTTGGTGTTTTAAATTTATTCTGGAAGAAGCATACTTAGTTATCGCTTACATTAATTTATGCGTAATTTCTAAAGTGTATTTTTTCATGTAATTAGAATAAAAAGTGCAATTCAATATTGAATATGTAAGTTACTCTTTACGCTTTGGATAGTTATTTAATTGAAAAATTTGTTTTTGAGCTTTTAGTGAATTAATAAATCATTCGAAATTCATTTTGTGCATCAATTTCGCTATACTAAAACATTTCTACATTGAAAAATAAATACATATAAATTTGTATCTATATCTATATATATTTATATAGAATAGAGTATATAATGGTAAATCTTATTTTCTGTAACATACTATGATATACATTGTCATTTATCATAATGCCATTATCAAATACACCTCATAAATGCACTCTGATAACCGTTGATATAAAAATACTGAATTGTAAACTCTGAACAAGCTGTCTATACTTGAGATTACTACTCTTCTTGTACTGACTGAACGATAAAGAAAAATTTTAAAGAGGAGTATGGATCAATAAAATAAAGTTTATTGATAAATTAATATACAGCTTGACAGAGCAAAGAATAATTGATTGGACACATATTATTGATTAGTTTATGACTGTCGATTTTATCATTAATTTGCAAATAAACATAATGCTTTTATAAGTAATTACTAACTATTTTTATTGTTGAATATTTGCTACTCCAATTTAGAAATCATTTAACATTTCATGAAGACATTTTATGTTTTGTAATAATATTTATTATAAATATTGAAATAATTTACTACTTCATATGCCAATTTGTAAAAAAAAATATCATTTATTTATGAAAAAAAAAAATTTCTCTATAAAATCAGTTTAATGCTTCAAGAGCTTTGTGGCATGTAGCAGTGATGATAATCTTTCACATCATGATTATACGCATGAATTATTTTTTCATGATACAATGAATAAAATAATTATTAGCATGAGCTAACTCATGATTTTCGATCTGTAATTTAAATTTCAATTTTTATATATCTTGGTGAAATGTAACCGTAATATGTTAATTTATTTTAAAATCATTTCTTCCTTTCAGGACTATTGATGGCAAGGACAAAAAAAGCAAGAAAAAAGGACTCTTCTAAATGCACTTATGTTTTTATCGTATCAACCAAAAATAATACTTACAAGATAAATATAAAAGAGAAAATAACGAATACTGATAACTTTCGCTTACAAAATATTATAGCCATAATTGACTCGAGTCAAAAATCGGTCTCATCATAGTTATACAGACTCTGTCGTGCACAGTTTAATTACTATTTTATGTAAAAAATAATTTGATAAGATTGGGGAATTTTATACATAATAATTAATGAATTATAATTAGATGATTAAAGATAAATAGATATTAGAAAAAATTCATGATAAAAACTCGGAAACTTTTCTACAGGCTTTTGACTGATTTCTTTTAACATTCTCATGCGCTGACGAGAATAATATTCAGTAAATTTATATTTGCAACTGTTACTTAAATAGTAGCATTAATTATATAATAAATATATATATATTATATATAAATGTATAAATATATAGTCATTTATAAAACTTAGGACTTTACTGTAATATGTTTGCAGAAATTATCAATTGTTTTGCATTTCTTTTTTTATATTTATATTTTTTGCACAATGATCTAAAATAATGAAATGAGTGTTTGTAAGTAAAATCTAAAAAATGAAGAATTATCTCTTCGAATAAAAAAAACGCCAGTTAAATATGCATCAATTCAGCCAACGATATAAATAAATTAGATAAATATTTAAATTAGGTCGTGAAGTGAAGAAAATTGTCAATATATATATATATATATATAAATACATATATAATTGATTAGATGTATCTTTGTTCAGTGAATCAATTATTATTATTATATCTTATTTACTTTTTTTTCAATTATCGTAATTAACTTTTTTGAATTACGTATGAAGGCCATTAAAAAAACGTCTAGTATTTATTTAGTAACGATAGTATTCTATTAGTTCCTTAAATATGCTACTAATTTGAAAATAATTTTGTAAAACACGTTCGCAAGTAAATTATTATGTTAAATAATCATGTGCTGTTAATTCAGATATGATACAATTAATTTAAACAAAATACTGCCATAATAGCAATGTTATTTGCTTAAAAATGAAACGAACTTTATTGTGTATTCGATTTATTGATTATATTAATACGTAATCATAACAATAAAATTTATTCTTAATGAAAATAAAACGTGCCAAACGATGTAACATATTATTTAAAAACATTGAACACTGATCATAATTGTCTATTTTTTACTTAATTTTTATTCTCAATAATATATAAGTCAATTTTCGTGCCAATAGAACATTGTTGTGTTGGATGATCGATTACGGATGAATATTTCGCAAGATAAAGAGCAGAAATAAAAAGAAAATAGTTCAACTTTCACTTGTGAATAAAATATGTAGCTTTTTTTCTCTAATTAAGATATTAGCATTTTTATTTGGAAACTTTTTTATTCCACGAAGATTCCTTACTTCAATTGCCATCAAATTAAGATAAATTACGATTGCTAACTTAATACAAAATAAATTTATTCAATAATATTTAGAAAAATGATAGAAGATGTAAGATTATATCAGCTATTTGTAAGGTAGATAATAAAAAATGAAAAGAAATAGAATGTAACTATAATAGTATAAAATAATAATCAATTCACCGTACTCGCATAGCAGAAAATGCTTCTTCATCACAGTAGAAGTGTGTCAGTAGGTCATAACTACTGTATTTTGAAAAAAAAATTCTTATACAATAGAGAATCATCTGCTAAAAAATTAATGGACATACCTAACATTGAATTTTGAATGGACATTTTTCTTATCAGTGTAAACCGTACATTGATAATAACTTAATGAGCAACAACAATTTTACACCAATGTCAACAAAATTATTTTATATATAAGAAATGATTTAAGTGAAATAAAGTTTGATACAAATCAGTATCATATAATAATATCTATAAGTATAATATTAGTTAATGAATTCAATTTTAATATGTAAGTTTGAAAAATGCGTACAAAATATTTAAATACGATTGGTGTAATTGCAATGCAAAAAAAATTACTTATTGCATGATGAATAAATTCGTAAAAATTTATTATATTTTACTGTGTCAGTTATTTGAAGAAATATCGTCGTTATTTTTTGTGAATTTTATTGTACTAATTGTAATTCACGTGATAATATATGTATCAGTAATCAATTAAATATCAAAAATAAATAAGAAATTAAATAATATTTGAATTAATTATGAGTATAAAAAGTATTAAGAAATATTTCGAATCAAATGAAGTGTTGTATTATCTGTTTTAATTATATTAATTCAAATTGGAGTGATATAATATTTGTAATTTCATGGAATGTATATCGTGATGCAATTTTTATGCTGACGTGTTTATCTGATGCATATTTTATAAAATAAATATTTAACAAATGTGTAAAATAATTTTCAAAGTATAACTTGAATTCCACAGATTAATTTAGTACGTGAAATTTTTCCATTCACTGTAAAAATGATGGATGATCATCAACATCATACTAACCTCAATAGAGCCAGTAACATTCAATTACCAATGTTTTATCCATAAAGAATAGTAATCAATGAAAATAATTACAAGTGTCATAAGATTAGAATGCAAAAAGTAAAACACTTTTTTTAGTTTCCTGTATTTTAAGCTCTGATAAAAATTGAAGAACATTCAGTTATCCCCTCTTCTATTCACGTGTAGCACAAGTCTAGTATAGTAAATGAATGGATAAACTTCATAGGATATATTGTGGATACATTACACGTGTGTGCACACATCTGTACTAGCCAACGTGACGTGTCTTTATGATTTAACGTGTGGTTTTACTTGGTTCGGAGCATAGATAAATATTAAAAAGTGACTGGTAGCTTCAGTTCCTCACAAACGATCAGTTCTAAGGGTTGTTGCTCCAAACAACTAGTGACAATATCTTGCTCAAATTTTATACTTATAACTTAATATTACTATCGAAATACTTAATATTAATCACGAGTATTCAAAATTTAACATCGCTCCATAATAAAACGGTAAATTTTCATCAATAAGTTTCACTTCTAACCTAAATATTTGACGTCTTTACCGGGAAAGTCAAGGTGTTATTACTTGTATCGCTGCTGTTACTATCATTGGTGTTATTATCATCGTTGCTATTATCGCTATTTTAATTATCACTGCACCTGATAAGCTTTTTCAGTTAATTATCATCAAATTTATTCTAAGTACCCAAAGTCACTTTCACTAGATTAAATTCTTTTGATAAAAAGTCATGACTTAGTTTTTTTATTTTTTCATGTAATGAAGTTATTTATAAAAATTTAATTTGGTAATTAACATCTTTATAACTGTATTTCGAAGCGAAATTAATACTATAATGAGTAATTTTTAACTGAAGATGATTCAATACTCTAGACAATTTCAATAACCCATGATAGAACTTATATAAAATTTTATAAATTTTTACTAAATTGCATGAAAATAATATTTTATTATTTATTTCTTCATTAACAATTCAATGAATAGATAATTCTTCGAATAAAAGACTGATAAAAAAGGTCACTTTAATACATTAACTTTCAAATAATTATAAATTAAAATTATTACTTTGTTTACTTCAATAAAAAATAATTGGTAATTGTATGTTATCAGGATAAAAAATGTGGCCGGCAAACGTTGGGATCAAGGCTATCGAACTATATTTTCCAGCTCAATACGTGGACCAAGTAGACCTCGAAAAATTCGATGGAGTATCAGCTGGAAAATATACCATTGGTTTAGGCCAATCAAAAATGGGTTTTTGTAATGATAGAGAAGACATCAACTCGTTATGTTTAACAGTTACTCAGCGTTTGTTAGAACGCTACTCTATAAAGCCAGAAGACATTGGAAGATTGGAAGTAGGAACTGAGACAATCATTGATAAAAGTAAATCGGTTAAAACCGTGTTAATGCAGCTATTTGAACCATCAGGTGCTACTGACATCGAAGGAATTGATACAACAAATGCCTGTTATGGAGGTACAGCAGCTCTTTTTAATGCAATTTCTTGGGTTGAGAGCAGTGCTTGGGATGGTAGATTAGCTATAGTGGTAGCAGCTGATAATGCTGTGTATGCAAAAGGTAGTGCAAGGCCTACAGGAGGTGCTGGAGCTATAGCAATGCTCATAGGACCTGATGCTCCAATAGTATTCGATAGAGGCATCAGAGCATCTTATATGAAAAATTCATATGATTTTTATAAGCCAGATTTAAAATCAGAGTATCCTACAGTTGATGGAAAATTATCAATTCAATGCTACCTCAGTGCTCTAGATAATTGCTATAAAAAATATTGTGAAAAAGTTGAAAAGAAACAAATGGGTGATACTGTTTCATTAGCAACATTTGATGCATTCATTTTTCATTCACCTTACTGTAAGTTAGTACAAAAATCATTTGCAAGAATTGCTTATAATGACTTCCGCAATTTAAGCAGGGACAAAGTATTACAAGTGTATCCGCAATTTGAAAAATATCATTCGGTCAAGATAGAAGATACATATTTTGATAGAGATATTGAAAAAACATTTGTTCAATTGAGCTCTGATGCCTTCCAACAAAAAACACAGCCTAGTTTATATATTTCTAATCTAGTAGGAAATATGTATACACCATCGGTTTATTCTGGATTAGTATCATTATTAATCAACAAACCAATCAATGAATTATTAGGAAAAAAAATTGCAGTATTTTCTTATGGATCAGGTTTAGCTTCAAGTATGTATTCTATAACGGTGTTGAAAACTGTAAAAGCTGAAGACCAATTGAAAACTTTAATTTCTAATTTATCATATGTTAAACGTCATTTAACTGAGAGGAAATGTATTAGTCCTGAGGATTATACAGCAATATTAGAGTCACGTGAGAAAAATTGTCACGTTGTTCCTTATGAACCAACAAGTCCTGTTGACGGGATGTTTCCGGGTACGTTTTATCTTGTGAAAATTGATAATATGTATAGAAGAACGTATTCACGAGTACCTTTATCATAATAATTCATGTAGAATTCCAATAATTTTTCTTATTTATCTTTTTTTCGATAATTGCAAATTTAACGCAGTTGATTTAAACGGGGTTATGAGGGCAAGGTATTTAAATTTCAAATGACTATAAAAATTTATGCTAATCTAATTTTACTTCATACGCAATTTTTAGCATTTTTTAAAGATATCATAGACTGTATGTGCCTTGTACACTAAAAAATTTCATAAATACTTATCATATTATGAATTATTTAAATTATAATAAAATTATTATTATTGGTTCTATGTATTATTATTGTTATTTGTTTATTGTACATTTTATGTGTTGATAGTAAAAAAATTCAATATGTAAATGAAAAAAAGAAATTTCTATTATAGATAAAATATATTGAATAAATTATAATATATCTATGAAATATTTGGGGGCTCACTTAATAAAGTACAAATTTTTATTCTACTATTTTACTTTTTTATTTATTACATGTGAATTAAAAAAGTCCAGAAAATTAATTTATAATGAAAGTTGAATAAAACTATGTAATTCATACTTTTTTTTTATTTGAGCCAAATGGCTTGACGAAACATCTTGTATGTATTATTAACAATGAATGACTTAACTTTTTTTTCATACACAAATTATTGTTGAATAAATATAGATAAACGATTTTTTATCATTTATCTGGTCATTGTTATTTTAATAATAAAAAAAGAATACGACATTTCGTATTTAAAATAGTTCAAAAATGAATTTCTAATCTTATCACTCCTAAATATCCAAGTCTTTATAAAAATGAAATGTTTTTGAAAATATACATTTGTAACAAATAAAATTTAATATTCACAAATAGCAGTAATTAAGATGTCATGTGGAGCTAATATTTAATTAATTATTTAATAAAATTGAAAGGACAGTACGTATACTGATACAATAAAACTAACAACAAATTGATTAATAAAATGATAATTATATTCGAAACAAAAAATTCACTTTTTAAATATTTTTTTGCCAATTATTATAGACAACCATTGCCAATACAATATATGATAATTACGTAACATCCATCGAAATATTTTTACGAATTTTAATCATTGTAAATAATTACAAACTTTTAAAATGTTGTTTTGATTTTGATGTAATCAATAAAAGTTTTCTTTTTATATTATTAACTATCTATAAAATTAATACATAACATAAAAAATGATAACGTCGTAAAGATGTACAATAACATCGTTAACATAAAGAATATAGTATCAAAAATAAAAATAGTTTGTCACAATTGATACGACGAAGAAAATGATTATATCATTGTAATTACTTATATTATTAGTATATATATATATGTATATATATTTATAGTGAATAGCGATAAAATTGTAGAATTCAATTATATCAGCATCTGAGTTTTTTTACAACATGCGACAGTTATTAAAAATGGTAAAATTGGACAAAAAATTAATACTGTTAATGGTCAAATTATACGTCATACATATTGAAAAATTTGAATATACTGTAAGAACGAGCTTTTATAAATTGATTAATAACAATTTCGTGAATAAACTATTAATATCATAGCATTACTTAATTCAAATTATCTTATAATTATGGAGCTAAGTATTAATGAACAAATTCTACTAATTTCTAAACATTTATAAGTATTTTTAACTTTCTATGATATTTATTTTTGTGTTTATTTGATGGTCATTCAATTTCAGTTAATTTACGTGTATTGTATACATTGATTTATGATTGAACACTATTATTTTTTGCCGTAATCTCTCTTATTATAATTATAATAATAATGAATTTTTTATTTATAATTTTTTATCAATTATACTTTATTTTCACATATTTATTGTGCGCCAAATTTTTTATCGAGTTTGCAAATCCATCTATTTATGTACTTGAAACATTGTTCATTCGATCTTCGTTGCACTATTAACGTTAGATGATTTTTTCGATATTTTTTTTTTATTTTTAGTTTTATCATTTTTTAATGAATTTTTATTTCATTTATATCATAGATGTTTCAATAAAGATATGATATTTGTAGATATTATTAAATTCTTATCACAAATAAAAAATACAGTCATTGGTTAATCGACAACCAACTGCTATATTTTATAATTAAATGACTTAATTATATATATCGAGCGTACTTTTCACTGACTGCTATTTAGTATTTTTCGTACTTCTCAGGTTACAAAATAAATGATTATAAATTCGTCATAATATAAAAATGTTAAAATTATTAATATTAATAAATAATATAATGAACAATTAAAAACAATTAATCTTAATGATTAAAATGACAGCGTATTTAAGTAAAAAAATGTATATAAATCATTGATATTTTAGTTTACATTGGCATCATGGTTAAAGCTCTTGTATAATTATAACACGTGAGTTATAATATGTAAAATATTCAATTATTATAAAATGTTAATGATAAAAAATATATCTATAATATTTTTAAAATGTTATCACAACTTGGTAACATAAAATTAATAATGTTGATAATCGAGCTATATGAAGAATTCATGTACAAGTATATTATTTACTTGAGTTTTGTTTTAAAAATTTATCACTAAAGAGAGATTCTCTTTTTAATAAATATCTTTGATATTTATCCAGCAGTCAATAAAAAGTGGCTTAGTATTTTTTAATACTTATAGTATTTGTCAGGTCCACAAAAATGGAAAATTACAGAGATTGAGAAAAAACAGTCATAAAGATTATCTGAATTTACTCATTATCGGAAGATTCAGTGGAACTTTCTGGCATAGAACTAAACCAATTACCTCGAGTACCAGTACTTCTGTAATAATTTTTTTTTCATCTTAGCAAATGATTTTTCAAATAAAAAAATTAAATTTGTTAGTAGACTTACCGTGAACGTTGTCGGGTACTTGTTGGCAGTGTAAGTGAAGTCCGATAATACTTTGGTGTAACACTTGAGGCAGTTTCTTCAGGTCTTCTGTGCAATGTCATTGTTTCATGTGGAGAAGTAACTAATTCATCCTCATTATCCAAGTAGTAACGCGAACCAGTAGTACTTTTACAATTTTCACATTCACTACGATAATCGTCAGTATCATCGTGCAATGTTGGAAGAACTTGTATGCTACACGTGCACGTAACTGAATCAAAACTTCCTTCTTGTTCAGTGCTACTACCAAATATTAATGAAGGCTATGAAAATATAAATTTTATTAGACTCAACTTTCTTATTATTTCAACTAATATAAAATAAGTTTAACTTACTTTTTTGTTATTATTTGAAGTTGCCTCAAAATCAGCAGCCTTAATTTGCGATGAAGACGGTTCTGCTAATTTTAGTTGTAATGAGGATGGTTGATTATCTTGATATTCAGTGGAAATATTTTTGTTATGAGAGTTAGAACTAACAGAAGGTATACATTGAGGTAATTGTTCAAGAGACTTGACATCCTTTGCAGGCGTATTGGCAAGTGATAATAATGATTGAGGATTAATAAAGTCATGCCGTATTCGTGGACTAGTACTTGTGGTAAGGGTACGTGGAATAGTACGATGAGTTGATATAGTGTTTGTATTTGGCAACGTTGAAGAGATAGTAAATGCACTTCCCTGGCGTGGAAGAGCCGCATGGCGCAAAGGATCACGAAAATTTTGAGAGTGATTATTTTCATGAACATTCGAATGCTCTGGTGATCGACTATTATTTGTTATTGGTAATGGTACTGGTACTTGAACCGTATTTTCATAAATATTAGAGTCCACATTATAATTATTAAAATTAGTAACTGGTGCACTATTATAAAGACTAACAGACATGTTTTCATCGGTTTGAACCAATTGCTGATGACATGTAGAAGAATGTGGATTAATGGCATTCAAAGGCCTACTAGAATTATTAGAAACTGAAGACGATGGACTTGTAGCGTTATAATTTGAAGGAGTTGGAGAATTCGCTGGTAAACTATTTTGCGTACTTCCAGCAACAGACATATTTGAATGGCTACTATACGTTGTTAAATAAGAATTACGAAGATTTAGTGATGATAATGCATTTGGATTCATTGTTAACAATGCCTGTTCAGCTCTAGCTGCTGCAACTGCTTCTTCATAAGGAGGTGGAGCTTCTCCTCTTGGAAAATAATTTCCAGGTGGTTTCCACAATGAATATCCACCGCTACAACTCATTTCATCCATTTGCATTCCATGTGATAAGCCTCCTCGCTCCAAATAACCCATACTTCCCAAACTTCGTTGTTCTTCTGTCAATTCACGATTTTGTCTTCCTGCTATGCAAACTTATTTATTCAGAAAAATACACAATAAATGTGTTAGTAATTTTAGTGATATTTTATATTTGTTAAAGCTGATATTAATAGTTTAATTAATTTTAAAATAATATAAAAAATTCAGTGATTATCATTGATTTGAGTCAAAATAAAATATAAGAGAACATTAAACTGATCCTTACCTCGAATTTTTCTCTGACGTAATCGGTGTATAAGGAAGAATAATAAACTCAAAGATAAAATAGCTGTGATACAACTTGCAACTAATCTCAGTCCTAAATCATAAGTAGCACTAGAATCACCATTATTATTCTCGATTCCGTCGGTTTTGTCGTTGGTCACTGAAGACAAAGTATCATCTAAGCATATGAATTCACAACACGGTGTTCCAATCCTAAATGACTTACAATCTTGCTTTGGTACTGACTTCTGTCAATCAAAAAATTGTTTAGACATTTGTTATATAGATTAAGCTTAATCAAAAATAACTATTCTATTCGTTTTGTTTTTCATACGTACTTGTGACAATCTACATATGACTGCTTTACACCATTTAGGATTGCCATTATCACATACACAAAGAGTGCAGGGCTCAGGTATGTAATAAACTCCAGTTGTATACGTATGTCCTTGTAAATCTTTACATACTCCTCCATTGCCTCCACTACCACCTCCTCCTCCAGCTCCGTAGACTTCATCTGGTACGACAATATAAAAAACTATTTATCATCTCAAATATAGAATTGAGGTTAAACAAATTAACATTCTTTCATTTAAACGAGTATTTATAGATACATAGAATTTTTATAGAGCTAAAAAAATATATTTACCACACACATATAGAACAAGAGTAAGTGCTGCATAACCGAGGAGGTTAACACTTTTATATCTCATTCTCAAATCGTTATCTCATTATAATTTTTGCTTTATTTAACGATTGATAAGTATGGAACTTAATCTCACAATAATTTTTACAGATGATCAATCTTGTATTGTCGACTTATCCATTATTGTTAACTATTTTAGAAAATTTGTACGATTATAACTTGATAATTAGTATATTGCTGTGTGCATATTTATTAAATGCTTGCTATCCTCATGTCAATAGATAATCTTCGCAAGTATAGAAACATCGATAAAACTCAACTTTGGTATCACTTGCATGTACACATAATATCCAGTATTCCATACAACGTATTTTTACACTTCGTTATTTCACTGATAAGTAAGATTATAGTGATATTTATTCTTTAGTGTAGCTCATTCTACATCTAAAACACTCACGACACTTTTCATCTATGTTGACTATTGAGCAGTCATAATAAATGTTACACAGACATCTGCCATTACCTCTACTTTGATATTGTACATATATTCTTATTTTGGAGTAATTATACCAGACCTTATTCTAGATGTATGTATGGAGAATACATATGTATAGGACAAGCTAGTACTTTTTCTCCAGGTGAATCAAATCCCACAAATGAATACAATTTTTGGAGTAAATTAATTTAAAAATATATTTTAGAAGGCATTTGATTTTGGCAAGAATTTTGTTTAAACAATAATAAAAAGAACTTAATTTTCATATAATTTTTCGTCGTACATGTTCATCGCGACACCTACAACTGTCAAAAAACAGTTTGCAGTGAAGTTAACTGCGCACTGTGAGGATTAAATTGGATTCGATACATTCGATAGGAAAAGGAGAATGCCAGAAGATGTCCATAGTGTGATCTTTTAACAATTTTCATTAATTATTTGAATTCTATTTGATGTTGACATCGTTTAGTGTTTAATTACAATATTTACAATACTGTAATACTTGAAGATCTTATGATAATATGGTAATCATGCCATACTATATTCTATAATAGAATAAAATATTTGTATACACAAGTCGATGCACTGTATATAAGATAATTTTTAACAATTCTAATGAATTCCCATTATACGTTATAAGTAATAAAGTTTATAGCTTATGGAATTAATTCATAATTGAATTTACTTCTTATGAATAAATCTTAGATAAATGGTAAGGCTCAGTATACAGATTTCCATAATAATTATCAAAATTAATACTATTTTATTAGTTAAAACTCCCCGTGTAATCAACCGCATCATTTTTCTAGATATTGCTAATTCCTGATCCGTTTCTGACAGTCGTCTTTTGGTTCGCAAGAGGGATTCTCGTTGCACTCCTAATTCTGTTATCACCTCCTGACCAATCTGTTCAGTTTCTACTGCTACTGTTTGTGATCGTAAAACTGATTCACTAGTTCGCTGTAATGTTGCTCGAGTATCCAAGAGCGTTTGACGTTGTTCTGCATCCCAATCAATGCCGTAATTCATTTTTGATTTATTTTATCAATAACTATTCAAATCAATGATTTTCTTTCAATAGTCAATAATTATATTCAATTGATCTTTGATGTAGAAAGATTGATTGACCAACTGAAAAAATATGCCTTTTATAGATAAATAATTTTACAAAATGGTGATAAAAAAATTTTTTAAATATATTTGTTATTAATCAGTTAGAATAAAATTTATACTTACTTCTAGAATTTAATGACTCATTTATTTTATTAACTGTTATTGATGGATTTTATGAATAATGCAAAATCATAATTAACCATAGTTTGGTGATCAATCTAAATTTGATTTGATCTTGATCAAAATCAATGCTTTATTATAAAAAATGTTAATGATTGAACATTATCTAAAATTATTTAATAATTTGTTTGCACTACATATGACTATGAACTGTCACGTACATTTATTTATCATGATCTTTTCTATTGGACTAAGAATATTATCTTACAGAAGAACAAACTCAGAATTGTATATTTCAACAAGTACGTAGTACATAAACCGACTATATGTAGCGCTGCAAGTAAACATCGATGAAAATGAAGTGTTCTACCTTTTTTTGTGTAGGAAAAAAATTAATCATAAAATAGGACATGAAATGATACATAAAAAATATCAGTTATTAAAGACAACATTAATATTTGTAAATTTCACAACGTTGAGATCATATCTATCCAGAAGTTATTCATTTGGATGAAAATTTGATCATATCATCTGTTTATTTGACACCCTGTATTTATATCAATCACTCTGCACTCCAATAATTATCCATATTTTATTCATAACATGACGTAATTTCAGTATTTTGATCTTTTAGTAGATTAAATTCAACATTTAGAAAGCTATGTTTTATTTTTTAATACCATTGTAATAATATACATTTTCATAATATTCATCATGATTTTCATGATCATCATAAAATTCATAAAAAGTATATGGAACACTTTTTCTACCAGTACGACTTTGAGTCATTTTTTTCGGTGGACATTTCTGTAAAGTCAAAAACGAAAATTCGTATGATTAATCTATCTTTTAATGATAAGATTAGAATCAGTTTTATAGCAGTAATATATTTTACTTTTTTAGGCCTCTTAAAGAAGGTTTTTTGACGAGTAGATGATGTATTATCTTCCATTGTTGTTGATAAAACATTAGGGTTCTCTGTTGTTTTTATGGCATAGTCTTCATTTGTCCCAAGAAAATCAATACCTTTATTGTCATCTTTTTTAGCTGAATCTAAAGTACCTAAATTACGTGATCCCGTAGGAAGGATGGGAAGATTTATTGGCTCTAAAACATGACAGATAAGATTGAACATAAATTTTAGGAATAGTCAAAAATATTATTATTTACCTCTTTCTGAAACACCAGGGTTATTACAATAACTTCTTCTTAAAACCTCCAATTGATTCAAGGCTGTTCTAATAGTTTCCATTGGTTCCATCATTAAATCACAGGAAATTTTTTCTTCATAAAATTTTTCATCTTGCAGCGGCATAAGTGGATCTTGAAATGGTCCTCGAAAAGTTGCTATCACATCTGGATACTGATTTCCTGCAACACCTGAAATAGAAAAAAAAGTCAATCAATTCTATCATAAAGATGCATTAATACATTTTCCTTTTAAAACTTACATGACGTTAATAAATGATAGTAAATTCTAATAAAAATAATAAAACATCGAGATTTTTTCAGCATCTTGATTCTATGGTGCTCCAAATTGTTCACACTCAAGTATGTGGATTGTTATGTTTACAGTATCAAAAATTTATTCATTATTTGGCTGTCAACGAATTAGTGTTTCAAATATTGTATTAAGATAAGTCAATCATTTTTATTTTACGATTGTTAGGTTTTCATGCTAATTGATATTTTATTATTTAAACATTAAAAGTTGGATTAGGTAACAAATTTTCCAATGCGACAAATTCTTGAATTTATAAACTTTATAGTTATTTATGCGTAAACTTATTACATCTTGTTTTTAAAAAAAATTATAAAAAAAATTATTTTGTGCAACTGTTTTATCTAAAAACTGTCAATCAAATAACTGTAATACCGACAGTCGGCCATGATTCGGCTCATGCGTCGTTATCACTCTCTACAGTTATCGATATTCAGTTGGATGAAGCCATTGGAGCAGTTCGGACGTCTCGTATGGTTTTGGAGTAAATAATGATTTTTATCGTTATCTAACGATTAATACAATGACTTGAGTATGAATATTGATTATATTAATCATTTCGTTTAATATTAAGTAAAATTTAAATGCAAATTATTCAAAAAGAAGCGATTAAACACAAACATAGCTCGGCTACGTTTTTCCCTGCCTCATTACTCCAGTAGCTAAATTGTTACGTGATTTTCATCAGGTCACAAAAAGGTATTATCTTTTAGATAAAATAAACTTTTAGCTTTTCGATGAAACTTTGTATTGGTCAACAATAAGAGGGTGTAAGCTGTAAGATAAAGTTGAAGAATGTAAACATGTAAAAGGAGCTTTCGTTGCTTGTGTATGTAAACATAGCCTAACATATATATGTAACACCAAAGGGAGAGTATGTATTCATGTATTTGGTAAGTTGCAAGAGGATAGAAATAAAGGATAAGCAAGAGAAGCGACGAAGGAAAAAAAATATATGCAAGCTGCGCGCGCAATGGCTTTGTCTGTGCGGCTGCGCGGTGGGGGGTTGCCCACGAACGTCCCATGGCGGACGACAGCAACTGCATCCTCTCAGTCGGCCGCTGAACTCGCGCGTGGTATGGTTGAGCGTGTGAGTTCCTTAATTTTTGTGCCGTAAATCGAGTTTTATTTTTTATTCTTTACGTTCGTGTTTTGTCTTGATTTTTGCCGGTAAATTATATCGAAAATAGTTGACGTGCGACAGCCCTCGCGTGTGATTCTATAGAATTATCGTGTCTGCATAAAAATAAACTAAATAAAGTTAACGAATTTGGAAATTTTCATGATCCGGCGACTCCAAGGCGTCTTATTGGATAATCACTCCTTCGTGTGGACGTGCTGTGGAGGTTGGAGGTTAGAAACGCCGTGACAACGTCCTGTAAACCGTCTGTATGGTGAGTAGAATTTTTTTTTTCGTACTACTGTGAGTTACTCAGAAAAATGATTGTCGGTTATAAAACAAAATTGTTCAGTAAAACTTTTCTTGATAATCAGTGATCGAAGACTAATACAGATAGTACATTTTTCTGTTTATGTGTCCACATGTAAAATAATGAAACATTTTTCACGAGAAGTGAAGTTATAAACTACTGGTAATTTCGTGAAATGACCGATATTTATTTTTCAAGAGAAATTGACAGTAATTTTAGACTCTGCTAATTATTAAGAACTTCAAGCAATTAATCAACCTCATTTTATATGAAATAATTCAAATTTTTTGAATACTGTGCAATTTGTTTTCTTTTTATTTTTATCACATAAAAGTAACTTACATTCTTTTGAATGGTGTTAATCTTGAGTTGATTAGTTTACTTCTTACAAAGACAGAAGAAAATAAAGTTATAAATTACTACTCATTTTTTTCCTACTGAAAGTCGTTTAAGGGTAGATGAATGATAGGTTGTGATCCATACTTTCTTCTTTATTTTTTTTTAAAAATGACTTACCCTAATTATCCTTATATAATATTACATATCTATTTTTTTTTACAACTTGAGTTAAGGTTCAATAAATTTTTAATTACAACTATAATTAATAATTAAAGATAATGAAGGTGTCTTCAAAATACACATGGAAGATGAAGACTCCAAAAAATAATGTAAACGAATGTTTATTAATTTAATCTTTATATTTTAATACGTAGTCTTTTATCATCAGTAATAAAAGCTAATAAAACTTCAAGTATAAATGAAATAAAACAAGTGAAACAATTGTTGATAATAAACCGTTATAACCGGTGATTTTATTTTTCTTTCAAAAAGGTTCTCTCTGTTCAGAAAAAAAAAATCTTTATGAGAATTTTGCGACATTTTTCTTTTTATTGACTTGGATTGATAACTTGTTGACGCGAAATGATGGAATAAAATAAAATCTTATGTTCTCTGACGCGTAGAGTGGAGTGTACCTGCCTAGGAGAGTTTCGACACGTAGATACTTTGTGATTGTGTTTATATTTATATATATATAGTCGAGTCACCCGAAGAACCGGGTGGAAAGTGATACGAGACTATAAACGATTGCATACAACTAGAGGCGGTGAGTGTGCATTGATTCGCTTGACTTACAATCAAATGCTTAACGCCTTCGACGACTTATTGAGACCAAATTCTTTTTCTACAAGCAATTTAATATTAATTTTACACTTTGAAACGAATATCCTTGAAGCTTATGCAATTATTACCAGTAACCAAAGGTCTTTATTAAAGTTTCAAGTTCTATTGTATTCAAGTTGTAATTATTTTTTTTTTCATTTCTTAATAAGCACAAAAGTGGCTTTAAATGTTTAAAGAAAAATATTATTATTAAATGAGTAGCTTGTTAAAATGAAGAAAAGCAAATAGAGTTTACTGGAAGCTTAATTATATGTAATATACTTATTTTTTATGAAGACAATTTTAATCTTGCGTGTTAATGTTTTTATGTGTAGTTTCCTCTTCTTTCTTTTATCTTTTTAATTATATAAATAAAAAAAAAAGTGGTGATTTAATAAATTATAGTCATTTCGATGACTTTCTTGACTTGAGGAATGACAGAAATAAAAATCAAAGACATTTTTAACTACAAGTTTAACCTTACTGATATTATACTGGTTTATCTCACCACTTCCGCCGTAAATCACGAAGGTCTAGGAGTAAATGATATTTCTTTTATTGTTTCTTATTTATATACGTTATTAAAAGAAAAAAGTTCAATTATTTTTACATCATTCTACTCAAGTTATATGATTTCTATCATGATAGCATTTTACACTCTATTCGTGAGTAAACATGCTAAAGAGCTTATCATTAATATGTAAATGAGCTGCAATTAGATGCTAACCAGCAGTAAGATTTTTCTCATCCTTTATAAATTGATTGAGCGATTTAGAATCAGGAGTTTTCAATTCAATAGACAATTGTTCATCATTGAGTGTCTCTCCAATCATATTACAGGCAATTGGCATCGAGGAGTTGTGACAATTCAATTTAAAGAAGGGTGGAATGTTTGATGCTGTATGCTATTGCTCTATGGTAGAAACGCCTGCTTCAAATAGTGCCAACCCCTATACGTCGACTGTCGCAGTACGACAATCGATATTAGCTGCTATGGAACACTGTTGACGCATTGAAAAAATATTTCATTTCGTTTTTCGATTAATCTCATGAACAATGGATACTTTTTCATCGGTGAAAAATACATTTTTTTTTGAAGGAAACACATTTTTAGTAGAAATTAAAAACGTATTCATTTTTTTTTATGATTGATAAGTAAAAATTTTATTTATTTTTTTCAAAATAATTCTTGTTATTTAAATCTTCAATTAATTAAATTTATTCCAGTGTTTTTTTTTCTTTTAATTCATTGAATTTATTTGTTAATATTTAAGTTAAGTTTAGGAAAAATATTGTTACACTTTGGCATTCCTAACAATTTACTCTGGAAAGTTCTGTTTGAGGTGTTAGTGAAACTTCTTAAAATATCATTTATGAAGTGTCTGAGTGAATAGCAATCAAATAATATTTAACTGCACGCATGTTCTTGAATAAAATAATCATAATGTAACAATTATTTATCTTATTCATTATAGAAATAATTTATGATGTTGAATTACTTGGTTTTATAAATTATTATATTCCTCCCTAGCTCTTACTTTTATTACTCCCATATTATTTCCATCATATTCTATCAAATGCCCTCATTCCATCCCCTGTATTAGGAATCTCGATACAATATTTCATGAAAGAATTTACTTCATATTGATCCTTTTGAGAGGTCAAGTATTTCTTATAAAATACCTTCAACCTTCTTTGAGTTTTCCACTCTAGATATTTCTCATACTAAAATGACTATTAAGCCATTAGTTTATTAAAAATATAAATCAATTTTCCGATTGATTTTCATTCAAGTGTTGCGTTTCCAATAGTTGTTCAATTGATGTCTCTCTTGTTTATGTGTACTCAAGGAGTGTCTTTGACACTTCTGTGAAGTTTGCAATATCCGTAGCACACCTCTCTCATCACGCCCAAGAGATTTTCATCCCCACAAGACCAATGCTTCTATTGTTTGTGCTCGTCCAGTGAATCCCTTGTCTTATATTTTGTCCCTCCATTATCACTAAGGGAACTAGAGAATAAAAGACGCGCATGGCTCGACACAATCGATTATATCTTACGTCAAAGTAAGTATTTCTTAGTCATATTGCACTTTCAAAGACCAAGGGTGGTTATGACGGGCGCATAATGATAGCACTAAAGCTCCATGCGATTACTTTTATAGTATTTTGTATTGTAGATATCATTCTTCTTTAATCATAGACTCTTTGTCATTCAAATATAGGGTCTTTAGATGCATGTTGATTTCCTTGATTACATTTTCTATATGACTGTATGGTTGATGTTACTAAATTTAATCATCAGTTATTTAGTGTATTAATACATCTGTATGGTATACGTTAGATATACTTAGATATTTTAGTTTGTCATCGACATTTTACATTTTATATCATGATGAATGTTGATTACTAGTCAGCAGTTGATTTATCGCGACTAAAGTAATGGTTTTGCTTCATTTATCTGACATTAACTTTCATACTAATTTTAAATATTTTCATTTGAAAGACCTTTAACATTATTATGTCGTGGTGAACAGATATCACATGTAATCAAGAAAATTCATTTTGATTACATTGTTTAATTAATTTTTCTATACTTAATATCCTGATAAAGTCCCCATTTTCGCTATATTTATTATTATTGCGATATCAAATTATGATGAAATAAATAATCGTTAAAAATGGCTAAATAATTAATGAATACTACTGAGGTTAAATTCAGATTTTTTTTTTAATCGTAGAGAAAGAGTTGGACATAAATTAATGGTTTCGTGACTTGCAGCATTTAGGAATTTTTAATTTTTCCAAAATTACTAAATAATTATGTTTGAATTTAACTAGAATTTTCTTGGGTTTAAATATTGAATTCTATTATTTTTTCTATTGGAAAGAGCATTGAAAATATAATTATTCCAGATGTAGTATTTTTAATCTTTATGATCACCAAGATCTTGAAGCTGTCAGAAATAGAAGTAAAGTATTTGTTTTATAACTCCTGACCTAACTGAAACAGGAATTTCTTGAAGTATAAATAGTCATTCTGAGTTTGACATTAATCTAGAGACCTTTTTATGTCAAGATGTTGTTGATTGGTAAGTTGTGACAGCAACTAACACATACGTTTGGCAAGCTTCATTATTATTAGCACTATAAACTTGAAGCAATTGGATAACTATCAACAAAAATTGTTGTCAGTGAAAATACCATACATTTCTTTGCTATTTAAAATGAAAGAAAAAGTTTGTTAGCTGTTAGCAATCGAGAGTCATATTAATAAAATACTCGTGAGTTGAATGAATTATCAAAGCTAACTCTATAATAGCATGGCATAATAGAAAGTAGAAGTGAAAAATGAAGAGTTAATAATTATTAATTAACTGTAAAAAAATTTTCTCCTGATAATATAATGACTATTTTATTATCAACATGATTTAAATAGAATTTCAATTAAATTTGATCATTTTTCATGCTACTTTGATCTACTTTTTTGCTGCTCAAATTCAGTGCAGAGATAAAGCTGTGAAGGAAAAAGAAATAAGTAATGACTGGATAAAGGTACATAAAAGAACGTGAAGCATGGATAAGGAGATCGCAAGGGCTAAAAATTATAGTGAGCGTCTGTTGAAGAGACTATACGTTCGTCATGGTATAGAGAAGTAAACCACAAGAATATTCTTTTACCTTGAAATATTCACTTCTATCACACAAAGTCTCATAAATTGGACTTTACATGTCTTATTCCATTCTCAACATCTTAAATCCAACTTTTGATGGCTTGAAAGTTAGTGATTTTTTTCTTATACT